TGATGCTGACTCGTAAAAATGGCTGCTGCCGTTTGCAATTAGACACTCGAAGACCTCTATCCTGAGCCCTTAAATATATACAGTGACCTATGTGCTGATGTGGCCAAAGGACAAGGAACATGTGAAATTGTTCCCATTAAAATCAGCCCTGGGGGCAACCACCGCATAACCAAGTGGAAGGCCTGGCTAGGCCCTCGGGTTTTTATTATTGGATCACTGCCTTTCTCTGCCTATAAAGTTCGGCTCTCCCTCCCTCCTCCGCCATCAGCCTCTGGCCGCTGCCCCCTCCCACGCACAGACCCAACACCTTCTTCTAACAGCCTTTAATTAATGGAAAACCCTCAGCTGTTTCTACCCTAATAGGGGGTCTGTTCCTATCAGAATAACAAATCAAGTACCCTGTCTGATATACAAGGTGTATTTTTGTTTGGCATGGGTGGGAGGGGGTGGGGGGCGGTAAACAGCAAACACGGTGCGGGCACTAAGAGTTCTCATCTAGCGCCTGGGAGACTCACTGTTTTGTTTCACGGCTTCCTGGATTCACAACGCAAGGCTGCTTCAGCTCTTGGCCAGGAATCAGCTACAGAGCTTCCTCACAGGACCCCAATTACATTGCTAACAGTAAAGAAGAAAAGTTGAACCAATTTTAGAACAAGAGTTAAGAGGAATGAGAAAAAAAAAAAATCCCTGCTGTGATCTTTTTAAACATTCATTGGGAAAGAGTTCCCTCTTGTGGTGGAACTGGGAATTGCCGCTCTTACCCAGAAAGTTTTCTGATGTCCAAAGGTTAATAAAACTTTTTGTGCCGTGAACCATATGGGCAATCAGGTAAAACCTGTGTATTTTATAAAGAAAGCCAATTACATTAGACTTATTTATCCAGTTGTTAAACAAACAGGGGCCATCCAAACATAGGTGCTTCTTTAACACAGTGGATAACAAGACCTAGTGCAAGGTCTAATTAACCATTGACGCAAAGTGGTGAAGACTGTAAGTAGCATTTTGAGAAATTAGTGGCAACTGTAATGAGATATGCAAATAACCGGGACTTCTAGAAGTGGCAAAGTCATAGGTTCTGGTAATACTGCAAAGGTCACTATTTGACCTTTTGTTGCCATTTGTAAAGGAAGGAAATCCTACATTTTAGTTAGAGGCTGGTCAACACAGTCTTTTCCCATTCTGGAGCCTGAATATCCTGAATTCTATCCACACAGCCTGGTGTGGATGGCGCCCAGGTATCTAGCTTAATCTATTCGTTGACTGGTTTCTCCACATAAGGCAAGGAGATCACCGGTTTTGTAGTATTTCATTGTGGGTGGGTGGGGGGGGGGGGGGCGGTGCGGGGCAGGGGCAAAAATGTTACTGTTATCTCCAGGGTATGTGAGAACTGGGGAATCTGAGTTAAGTCAAACACATTGAACATAACTGAAATAATGCCAGTCTAAAAATCAGGAGCACTTGCTTCTGTCTCATCCTGGCCGAACAGACCAGAAACAGGCGAACTTTCAGCAACAGTCAGTCCGGATGAGCCTGAAGACACAGAAGGGCCAACCATCCCATCAGTTCCCCGTAGCGCAGGGCGCACTGCCCTGTGCTCGTAGCAGCGGAAACAGACAACAGTGTCGGCGCTCCGACCAGGCGCCGGTCCTTCGGGCATTCCTCCATCCTGCGGAAGGGTGATGGTTCCCTGCTTCACCAGCATGGGAGTGGAGGCCGACAGGAGGGATGTCTTGCTCACAATCACACAGCTGCCCAGAGTGAGGCCAGGACCAGGGCCCAGGTCAGGCTGCTGCTGATGACCGCATGAAGAGGCCACTTCAGGTGGGTAGGTGGCAGTTTAACAAGCCCGGGGATTTAGTAACCGGGCTTGTCTCCTGGGCACACAGGAGGAGCGGGTTTCCACACCGCCCACCAGAATTTTCAAAGTTTCTAGAGAGGCCTGAACATGGTTTCAGTCAGGGGTTCAGTCTAGATGTTCTCGACAGCACCTACTCCCTCCAGGTGCCATCCTGGAAACGAGTTTTTAGTGTTAGAATGGTGGACTGGGCTATATTCCAAGGATGGGGGAGGGGGAGCCTCCAATACCCATCCGGGAGTAAAAGGTCAGGTCCCCTCACTGGCCTCCTCCCACACTCCGGGCCTTGAGGGTGGTTTCTGCAATCCCGCAGTCTGCCCTCTCCCACAGGCTGGCCTGAGCACCAGCCAGGGCTTTCCTCCGCCAGAAGGCAGACGCCCCAGCGGCAACTCGGACACAGGAAGGAGAACACGCAGAGTGGGAGAGCGTGCATGCAGCGCTGTCGTCAGACCTCGGCTGCAGGTGTGCACGCGTGAATCTTCTCTGCTATCCCAGAGAGGGCCCAGGTACAGGAGGTGGCTGTGAACTGAAGCTGACCGACCACACGCACAGGAGCTATCCATTCCTTCCGTGATGGAAGTCCCTCGCTCCTGGCTCTAAAGCCCATCCCACACGGGGTGATAAAAAATTCAGACTCGCCATTTCAGGCCACCCAGCCTCGTGGTCCCTTCAGCTACGGAAGCCCCACCTTGTTGGGACCGTGACCCGCTCTGGGAATGCCGTGATCCCTATACCCTCTGAGATTTTGTCACTTCCTTCAAACCCTGGCCCCAGAGACTCCAGCTTCTGCTCCCCCACCCAGCAACCACCCCCAGGGGCAGGAACCTGCAAAGGGTCTAGCTAACTTGGCTAGAGCTGAAAACAGGGAGAAAGCCATGGAGAACTCCCTCCCACAAATTCACATCTTAATACCCACCTTCCAAGGTTACCGGGGAGAGCCCCAAGCCAGGCACCACCCCTAACCCGAGCTTGGTCCTCAGTTTTTGCCTCACACCCAAGAGACAAATTCAAGTGAGAGACAACACATGCAGAAATCAGAAAGCAAATTTATTTATGAAATGCTCCCGGAGAGTCTGAATGCCCCACATATACAGGAAATAAAGTTGTCCGTAAGTTTGTTCTATACACTTGAGGTGAGGCTACAAGTGGGCACCCAGTAATCTGAATGCACCAACTATTGGGTTAAATGCTTCATGCAGTTTCTAGGTACCCTTCCTTCCCCCCTTCTAAACCTTGGGAATAAATGTACAGCTGCAAAGGCTGTCTTTTTCAGCTAGTAAAGGCTCTTTGTCTTAGTGAAATTGCTACAGAGGCTCCCTTTCCCAGGACAGTTTCAAGGACCCCCCTCCTCCTGCACTCTCTTTGCTTGTGATGTTTGGAACACCCAGTAATCTTATCTGACCAGGCTCCGGGCTGCAGAATTAATGGGTGAGACAGGTCTCCCTCCTCCTCCCTGCCTTAGCTTACCGCCTATCCTACCTAACAAAACCGACCGTCACTCCTAGTTCAGTTGCACTCCTCCTGGAAAATAAATTCCTTGAGGGCAGCTGTATCTAGAATAGTTACATAGTCCCTCCACATTTAATAACATCGTTGAGCAGGGAAAATGGCTGAATGGATAATGGATGTGTGGAATGAGAGCAATCACCCTATAAAACAAATACTCTGAAACCAGGGACACTTTTTAGAAAGTCTTTAACTTTCCAACTCCGTGAGGTCCCAGCTCCACTGCAGGCCAGCCCCAGGCCCCCACCCGACTCTGTGCCCGGTCTCCTCCCCTCCTGTGAAACGGGATGAAGTCAGCAGCCCCCTCACCGGTGGCTGCTCTGCTAAAATGAGTTCATGGGTTTTAAATGCTTACAAGAAGACCCAGCACGTGACCAGAACCCAGTGATACATTCCATGTCTTTAGCAGCAGCAGCAGCACACAGGTGAAAGGCATGTCTGTCTTTACAGGTGTTCGAATCAGAGGGGACAGGTGCAAGAGACCTGGGCCCCAGCTCAGCTCCTCAGCAGCCATGTGACCTTGGACAAGCTGCTCAACTTCTCAGCAAGCTGATTCTTCTGTTTGGAGTATGAATAAAAATGTGTGACGCGTCAGCTGAAAGTACAGGGCAATGTATAAAGGCAATAGTGAGAGCCCCATACACCTGTGTCACTTGAGGGTATTAGTTCAAAGGGACTTAAGCAACCTCAAAGGCAGGCCATCAGGACCCACGGAATGACAGCAGGGTCCCTTGCAGGCAGGGGTGCTAAGGCAGACTCCTTGGGCGTGCCCCCAGGTTACCCACAAAGGCAAGCCTGGTCAGTGGGCAGAAACCCTGGTGCACAGGTTCGAGGCAAGTTCAAGTCTGCTCCCAGATAGTCCTAAGCCAGTCCCGCCCTGTGGTAGTAAATGCTAAAGCAGTCCGAGCATGCTGAGCTTCTCCGTCACCTTCCTGGAGACTGGAGCACTACCCGAGTTCCAGGGAGGGTCCCTTAGAGCCCCCTTGTCCTCCCACCTGACACGCCAAGGCTCCCAACCCCTCAGTGTGAACTCTGTACTCTCCAACCCGGATGCCAGGGAGGTGAAGACAAAAGAGATTTAACTCTGACCAATTTTTATATACTTGAAACATACATCATAGGGATTCAGACAGGTTCATTCCTGGAGCTAGCTTTTTCACCTTGAACAAACCTGAAAGGCATACAAAAAATCCACACGTTTTCGGATAAATTGTGTATTCTCAGCTTCATAATAAAACAGTTGCATCTGACCTTAACACATGGGAGAACTCGTTAGAAAATAGAAATGTTTTCAAAGATGAACACATTTCACCACCCTCCTCCGCTGAACAACTGAGTAACATAATCTTGCCAAACACTTCCAGAATTAACCCAAAAAATGACACTTGAAGACATCACCCATCTGAGAGAACTGGGGCAACTCAGAAGCAATGAAAATATGGTCCATCCACGATAAATCATAGAATTGACAGCTACTAATAAAACATTGAAACATTATCTTCCTTTTAGGTCTCATGCATCTAGTCCAAGTGGGTATTTTTTATGTCCCAACCCACCATTTGTTGAAGAAATTACAGAAACGATAAAGCTGAAGGATGAAGGATAAGCACTTTAAATAAGAATTCATACTCCAAGGAAGTAAGAATCTTTCAACTTTTATTTCCAGGATACATTCATCTGGAACCTTTTAGTTTCTTTACAATTTTCCCCCTAAGAGAAATGAATACAGTAAAAATATAACCCAACTACCAGCAATGTTTTTAACCAGAAAAAAATCTCAAGTCTCTGGTGTGATAGATAATATAGGATTTTTTAAAAAATATAAACTTCATACCAGAAATAAAGCCTGAATATTCTCTTTTTCTTTAAAAATAGAATTTTTCCTTCTTTTCTCTCCATGTAAATCTTATTATCATCATTTAGTTCTAACGTCTACTTTTAAACTGATACTTACAACACTGTAGTGCTGTTTTCTGGCCCTACTTTGTATCCTGTTCTGTGAACCAACTAAGAATTTAAAGTGTTCAACAACAACAACAAAAAAAGAGAGATGCAACTAGGTGTAATAGCAAGGTTCTTCAAGATATACTGATCGTTTTTAAAAAACCATTAGCAACCTAAAACCTACTTCACAAGTTGCATTGTACAAAGCGCTTTTGCAAACAGTAAAGCTCTAATGGAAGACTTTTTTTAAAAATCTGTGCTGGACTAGAAAGGCTGCTGGCGGGGAGAGAATGTCAAGGACAGAAATCGTGTTCTTTGTTCGGTTACTATTTAGATTTGGGGGGAGAGAGATTACGAACTGCCGAGGGCGGGTGCGGGTACATGGACAGCCCACAAAGACTGAATGCTCTGCAGTGACAGATGAGTGTTTTTCTTAACTGAGAATAAAGACCAAGGGGCAGAGGAGCCGCCCAATGCTTTACACCAGACTGAGGAGTCAGACCATCTGTCTCCGACTAGGAAAAAGAAATGAGAGAAGTTAGTGTTCACCCGACTTCTGAGTAGCTCTTTATGCAGAGCTCCGTGACTTAAGGTAAAATCCATTTTAAAACAGTATTCCCAACTCTAACACAAATGGTCTGGGAATGGTTTCCTTTCTCTAGGATAGGAAGATAATAAAAAAAACCCTAATTATAAACATAGGTACAACATACCTGAACCAAGTGACACTCTCCTACCTCTAAAACAACCGCATTATCCAGAACAACTTTTTAGGGTACTTTGTAAAATACTGAATGTTAAGCAAAGGATTAAAAAAGTGTGATAAAAATAATCCCAGTGAAGGCTTCATTCTTGTTTGCTAGAATGCGAAACAGACGTAAGTGAAACTTCTCCCCATGAGCCATCACAGTGAAATCAGACAGGTCTGCAGACTCAGACCCAGCACTGAGGGCCTGCGGGAACCTGTCCATCTGCACCTAGACACGGACGACCACACAAAAGCATCCTCAGTTTCCTACAGGATGAGCCAACGGGTAAGAGGGGATGGGCCCGGGTGGCAGCATAGAGGCTATGCGGACAGACTGGGGCGAGGGAGGCATGCTGGAAGAGGCTGCCTGGGGGGGCTGGGGCACCTCCGTTCTCGGAACCTCTGCGGCTCTCAGGGAGCAGGCCTAGCTTAGCACAGGAAATGGGCTAAATGCCTTGCAACTTCTCCTTCGGCCCTCAATGCACTTCCTCTCTTCTTTAGCGGATCTTCCCCCAAGAGAATATTCAGGCCAATTTTGTCTTTGTTTTTTCTGCATTAGTAAGAGTTATAAACTAGCAATTTGGAATACCCCACTCACTGAGTATCTCAGGTTAGTATATGATAGCTTGAGTAATAAGAATGTAGAACTTAAATGTCATTTACACAAGAGTCAAACAAGCCCATGTCATACTTTGATGATGCCACAATAAAACTTAGCTCTGATATGTAAAAAACTATTTTTTCCCAAGGTTTTAACTATTGGACTTTTAACCAATTGCACTATTCCATGTAAAGGTCATTCATATTGCAGTAACATGCCTTCATGTTTTCTACATACAACAAAGTAAGATTTTTAAAAATACACATGTATTTTAAAACCAACCCACTCCTTTTTACAATCACACCTTCAGTCCAGCATTTGGAATATAAACCCAAACTGTCAATGAAAACAACAGTGGACCAAGTGACAGTATCATTTAAATGAAACAATGCAAGAAAAAGTCAGCATCAAAACTTAAAAAATAAACATAAACCGATTCACTGGAAAACTGCTCATATGCCCAAAGTGTTCAGAAATGCACCCCACACAGAAGAGACCCCACTGTGACATCAAACAACTCATTCCTTCCTCATTTTCTCAGTCCATGAAGCATGTCTGTTTTTACCGAGGTCTGCACAGTGATTAGCTATCCTGACAGCAGAGACTAATATTAAATACGCAGCCTATTCCAGAACTGGCACATGCTCCCAACAACTGTTTTCTGTGCGCCCTGAAATATAAAATAGTCCAGTCTTTAGGAGCATAAAAATGGAAGGGCTTATCAAATCTATTCACGTACATTGTGCATTAAATGTTACTCAGTTAAGACAGTAAGGTGGAAAAAAAGACTAGAAGGGTACAGTCAATTTTCTTTAAACAATCCCATTAGGCAGTATTGTCAATACTGTATTTTAACCAGGTTATAAAAAAAATTAATTACCAGAACTGTACCAATTTCTTGGAGAAACTAATAAAACATTAAATATACATGATTATTTGTATATTTCTTTGAAGCATCTTTGGTACCAATTGTGTTCCTTCCATATTATAGGACTTTTCAAAATTAATTTACTAATCAGCACACGAAAGATGAATTATGATACTATTCTTTTGGTTTTCCTATAAAACGTACTTGAACCTGACTATTAACCTGCACTAACCATGCACTTAAACACAGTACCTGTTTAACTCATGTACATATAAAATGAAACTAATACCAGAAAGAAATTAGACAGTAATGAGAATCAATGACAAAACATAACAATAACAACTGTTCTTAAGTAATTTATTTTTAAATTATAAGATTACAATGCTTTGATTATGCAAAATAGCATAATGGAAATTAAACCAAATCAATAAACCGAAAGAGAAAGAAAACTTGGTTTACTTGAGTATCAGTACTTAAACCATTCTAAGTATCTGACGTCCCAATCACATCTCATGTAGACGTAAGTATAATCATTTCCAAGGTTCGCCTGTGGGTTTAATTTCTCGTTTCCAACTTTTGTGAACTGGAATATAACTTATCTCAAACCCCGTTCTGCCCAGCAGCGTTCACGCTGCACCGGCAGCCAGCCTCCCGTGTGCAGTCGAGTGTGGGGTGGGGCACTGAACAGCTCCCAGCGTCTGGCCGCAGACAAACGCGGTACACTGCTTTCAGTGCGGCAGAGTGCGTTAGATTAACCGGAGCGCGGAGTTTAGTACACTTATTGCAGGACTGGTATTCTTTCCCTTCTGACTGAACCAGCTGAGCGTCTGAGCTGACAGATTACTGCTGTGGGTAGTAAGACTGCTGTGGGGGCTGAGGGAAGGGGTATGAAGGCTGCGGGGGTCCCGGGTACGGAGCCTGTCCCGGGCTCTGATGATACAGTGGCGGATATGGCATGTTGTACTGGCCGTACGCGTAAGGATTATAGCCCATGGGCATGGGCATTTGGCAATACCTGACGGGAAGAAGAAAACAAAAGAGCTGGATTGGTAAATCAAGTACTAAAACAATGAAACACGTAACAATTACTCTAAAACCCAGTTTTTTGAAGAAAGCATTGGCCTGCACTTCTCAGTCTATAAATAGAGAGCAGTGGGGAGAAAACACAGCCTGTTCAAGGTACCTGTTAGGGAAAAGTGTTCCTAATCCTGTTATTAACTGACAAAAAAGAATATCAAGTTCACTGTAATGCACATAAATCTACTGATTAAAAAGTCCTAATAATGGGAAAACAGAATGGACTTACTGAGTATAGTCTGAAACACACCTAAAAAAGTCAAATGCTTTAAGATTAACAAATTAACACAAAGAACGCTGATCTCTAAGAAAGTACATTCCATAATTACATAAATTTCTGCTCAACAGCTTATCAAAATGCCAAGATTTCAAAGTACAGGTTGGTGAATAAGACCGTATCAGTCTTACTTATGCTAAGGTCAAAAAAGACACCTTGTTTATCATCTAAATAAACAAGATCAAGAAAACACATTTGAATCCCAGATTTATTTAATATAAACCCAATATGAAAAAACTAAAAACATATATATGCTTATTAAGAAATGGCTATCCAACTGCTCAAATGACTAACATTATTTTTATCTGTGTACCAGCTGACAACACAGCTTATTCTTCCACGACACACCTGTGCGGAGAAGCACCAACCCTGTTTTTACAAGGTTGGCCAGCGCTAGAAACTGAGCCACCTTTGGGACATGCGAAGTTCCAGCCTCACCCGGGGTATCCTGGATAGGTGGGGTAGGGGGGCCCCTGGGCCTGCGGAAGGGGGGCTGAACCAGGAGTCGGCGCTGGAGCGGGCGCAGCAGTTCCCGTCCCCGCTGGGGCTGAAGCTGTGGCAGAGGCAGCTCGGTTGGCTGGAAGCACAGGAGGTGGAGGCCGGGCTGGGGGCTGGGGTTTAGTCGTCTGTAAGAAAAAATCAGCACTGACTACAAAGCGCTTCATGTTTCTCTCAAATTGCTATCAATTAAAATGTATGACAGTGTTTGAGAAACTCCAGAATCCAACCAGATACAATGCTAATTCCTATTCTTAAATGCTGGCCTATTACTCTAGAAATGTATCACATTTGAGGAATACTCCTCCAGTGTGCGGACCCTCCGTACCCACTGCGCTTTTCCTCACACCTCACATTCAATCATTCCCTGCTCATCACAGCCCCCACCAAAGGTCAGACATCTGAGGTGGAAGGAAGGAGCAGGTCAGATACAGTGTATTCCTGTAATCTCGCCCTGGTCCCAACATGCTATGAAAATTTCCAAATACCAGGAAACTCAAAAGAATAGTATAATAAACATGTACGTTGTAATACTCTTCTACATAATCACAACACCATTTCATCCTATGGAAATTAACACATATTCCCGAATATCCTCAAGTACCTACTCCACACATTCAAGTTTCCCTATTTACCAAAAACAAAACAAACAAAACTCTTACAGGTGTTCTGATGAGCCAAGATCCAATCAAGGTTCATGTATTGCTCCTGATTATTATGACTCTTTCCTTTTTTGTAATCTAAAGCGTTCCCTCTGCCTAATTTTTTTTTCTATGACATTCACTTCTAGAAAAAAAACAAGCCAGGTGACCCACAAAATGTCCCACTTCTAGATTTGTCCAACTGTTTCCTAATGACACAATTTAACTTCTTGTTTCATCACCGTATTTGCTACAAATGAAAGTTGATTCTAAAGACCTGGTTAGATTCAAGTGCAAAAAATTTTTTGGGCAAGAATTATTCATATCGCAAAACATCAGGTTGGTCACCTGATGAAAAGGGTGACACCAGATTTCCCCAATGTAAAATCTGTTTCATCCTTTACAGCGAGCAAGCTGTCACTAAGGCGAAACTTCCATTTTAAAACCGTGTGCTTACTGACCGCCATGGTCCTCGGTGCTGGAGTCGGAGGAGTGGGGGCGTGCCCCCCCGCTGGAGAGGTCTGGTACGCAGGTGTAGGAATTGAAGGAGCACTAGGTTCTCTGGCAATGCTTTGTTGCAAGTCCCTTATTAAAGACAAAAGTGTTTGAAATTAACACAATATAAGAAAACCAAACACGTAAAATACCAGATGTTTTTCTTTCCTTCATACACGAAACACTAAAAACAATGATGGTATTTTAAAATATCCTACATTTCTGATCTTAACTAGAACTAGCTTAAATCTTCTTTCTCTCTACTATTTAATAAAATGGAGTTAGTTCTTAGTACTTCTGAAGCCTAGGAAAAAGGAAAACTTTTCAGTTACATTTTGATTGTTTATTGTGTTATGATTAACTTATCCCTTTTTTTAATGGCTTCTGCATTTTAAGTCAGAGTTGACAAGAGACTTCCCATTTCATCTTTATTAAGGAATGCCTCCGTACTCTCTTTTAGACTTTACATTTCATTTTACACATTTCAAGTATGGTCAACTTGAAATATGTTCATGTATAAAAATGCCGTAAGTTTTCTAAATGGCTAGGCAGCTGTCTCTAACTTAATCTGATTGTTTAAAAGCATTTTTACACTAAAGTCACAAATGCATATGAATCTATTTTTACTTTCTATTGTTTTGGGGCTGTCTAAACATGTACCAACTGTGTTTTAAGAGACAATATTACATATTTTAATATCTGGGGAAATTAGTTTCCCCTTATTATTTTTATGCAACTTTCCTGGCTAATCTTTGTTTTTCTGCTTAAGCTTTAGGATCCACTTGTCTAGTTTCAAATGACAATCTGCTGATTTTCTTAAAGTTAAAAATATTATTTTATTTTTAGAGAAAGGGAGGGAGAGAAACATCAATGTGTGGCTGCCTCTCATGAGCCCCCAACTGGGGACCTGGCCCCCAACCCAGGTATGTGCCCTGACTGCGAATCAAACCAGCAACCCTTTGGTTCACTGGCCAGCACGCAATCCACTAAACCACACCAGCTAGGGCTTTTTTGTTTTTTTTTAATCAAAATAATGTCAAATGCCTAAATTTATTTAGAACTGACATGTTTATGAATCTGAGGCATCATCGTATCCAAGAATATTATATGTCTTTCAACTGGCTCAAGTCTTACATGTCCTTGAATAGTGTTTAAAAGCTGTCATCATACAGATCTCATGTATTTTACCATTTTGTTGCTATTGTAAGTAGGGTCTTTTCCTCCATCATATTTCCCATATGTCTATTTATATGAAAGTTTTTTATTTCTACAAATTTTTTAATGACCAACTATGTTCAGTAATAATTCTTTTATTATTTGCAGTTTGGGGGGGGTGAATCTCTTATGTTTACAAGTTGTACAATCATAAAATCTGTAACTAGTGATAGTTTTACCTCTTCCAATTGTTCTATTTATGACATCTTCCTCTTATCTAAATATGTTGGCAGGTACTGCCAATGCCCTACTAAATAATAGTGCTGGTGGGCATCTATGGTCTTTTCCTGGCTTTATGGGGAATGTTCACAGTGTTTCTTCGTTAACCAAGATGCTGAGTTTTGTGCAACAGACACATGCATATATTTTTTTCATGTGAAGGAAGGAGCCATCTACTCCCATTTCATTGAGTACCAGAATAGTTATTTTCTCACTGCTTTTTCTTCATCTATGAAGAGATTCCTCTTCTCCTTAGATTGAGAAATACTGATCCAATCATTTCATTACTGGAATAACTGCCCCGCTTCCCCTTGGTAATGGTTCTTTTTTAACTTCCTGCTGAGCATCAATGGCAAGTGTTTTATTTAGGACTTTTATACCCATATTCATAAATGAAGTTAGCCTGAAGACTGTGTTCTAGTTTATCTTTGTTGGCTTTTCTTAACAATAAGACTAATTTGCAGGGAGATTTTTAAAAGCTCTGGAACCTATTAAAAAGCATTCTAACTGTTTGCTTTTTAAAGGTTAACCAGAAGTACTCTGTAAAAGCAAGTAGCCCTGCTCCTTCTTAGGAGCGGAGGGAGGTAGCTCCTTGATGTCTTCTCCCATCTCTTCCTCGGACAGCTGTTGGAACAGGGGCACAGTGGTGAACAGTGTGCGGCTGGCTGAGACCTCAAGAAAGGCTCGTGAGTACAACAGACTCTGAGGTCTGCATGCTCATTACTGATGAACATGGGGCTTTGCACACTCCCGAATGACAGTCTGGCTCATGTCTGCGTTCCTGCAGTCCCTACACCAATCACGCCACTCTCTCCAATGCTGCCTGCCTAAACATTTTTACCTTTTTATGAACTACTTATGTTTTTGCCTGACTATGTACATAAAGGATCCTGCCATTATTTTACGGCTAATAATTCATATGCCTTTGTACTGGCTGGCAGTTCTTGTTAATTTTTTCCAACCATAAGATATATCCTTTCAACAAGCTTGTACTTATTTTTAAGAACAGGTTCTTGAGCATTATCATTAAATATTTGTTTTATTCACTGTTTTGGTTTTTCTTCTATAAGGGAAATTCAGTCTTGCACATACCGGATTTTCTTTACCCATCTCTAATTTTTTAAGTCCCATCTTTACTTGGGTTTCCTTTTCTTTCAATTTTCTCATTGCTACTCTCTGCACTCCTGTTTTCTTCCCTGCCTGCATTCTCCTTTGGTGCTCCTTCCCATATCATCTCAGATGGGTGACGGTTTCGTTCCTCTTCTTTCATGAATTCTGATACCACATGCTACCACCTCCTGTTTACGTAACATCTTGAGTTCTGGCATTTCTGTTTTTGGTGTGTCTTAGAGACATTGCTTCCTAACCCTTTTTTAAAGAAGTGTCGTTGTGAAATCTAATCTTGGAATATTCATCTGTCCTGTGATAATATTAGTCCTGTGAATGTCCTTCATCTATTAAGTTTTGTTAAATATTTCCCATTTTTTCCCCTTAATAAATACAAAGCCTCTTCATAGCAACTCCCTACTGATTCCTCAGCATAGAATGACTTCTATGTTACTGGCCCAGCTTTCTCAGTAGTCTCCTTCAGAAAGTGATTTCACTGGTATTTTCTGAGCTATTCACCCTGTCTTCCCCATGCTCTGTACCTCTAGTTCATGTAAGGAACCTATTTGCCACCACAAGGTAAACTGTTTATGTTTACTGGCATTTCCTGGGATCTGCCACCCTGAGCTGTTTTATTGTCATGGGACAGCACTGTACTTCTTGCATCTAGAGTTTCTGCTCCTTTTTATCCTTTTGTGCCCAGATCATGTAGCTGCTTGCTTACTTGTTGTTTTGTGAAATACCCAGGAGAAAAGGAAATTGCTATCTCACACTGCCAAGTTTACCCCAAAAGGTTTTGTTTGTTTTTTTAAGAAAAATACTTAAGTACAATTTGATACAGAACACAAACTTACTTTAAGAGTTCATCTCTTTCTGTTTTCCGTGCAAACACTATGTCACTGCATTTGTTCTGGAACTTGACCAGGATTTCAGTCAGCTCGTTGTAAAACTGTGAGCAAAGAACAAATATAGCCAATAAACCAGAACAATTTTGTAATTTGAGACAATATACAATTTAAATGTCATTTGTCAATAATAGTTAAAACTGAAAAACTAAAATTGTCTGCATGAGACACTACTTATTATACTACTTAATATTAAATAAGAGCTAAAGACTCCTAAAGAAAACAAAATCTAATAAAATCACGTTTAGAGAACATTGTCACCGAACATTAAATGGCAAACGTTAAAAGTCAATTATTTACTGAAGACGCCAGGCCTGTTTCACTGGAGGGACTAGATTTGCACATTCACTTCAGAAATGCAGGCAGCATTTCAGAAGCCCTTTACAAGAATTTTCAAAGGCTCTCTGGAGAGTTTTCTCAGCTTATCTCTTTCAACAAAGCATTTTAAACAAAATTAAAATAATATTTTACTACACTGCTTTGAGAGGCTCTGCTGTATTTCTACCCTCTCTTCAGATGCCTTCACGTTGTTTCTGCTGTATTTACAGCGAATGAAGACAGCTTCATTCAGGGGTCATTATGGAGCTGAACTACCAAAGGAGTGGTATTTCTGAAAAATTTAAAAGTCACTTGTTCCCTCGTAAGCCAAGTAATGGATAAAAAACACATACAAGCATTTCCCTAAACTTTTTAAAGAATAAGCAATGAAATCCTTAAACATCTGCGAGTCTAGCATCACCCAAACCATGAGCACAGAAGGCAGAAGCCACACTGCCCACTGTCCCCCACCAAGATCGGCCCTGTGTCCTCGAATTCCTTCACACAGGTCAGCTGTCCATCCCCACAAAAAGTGTGATTAGCCTTCAACACCTCTGGGCTAATTTCTGCCACACCAAATACCTAACCCCTTTCCTACCTGGTAAAACACACAATTCATCAAAGTTCCCGTGAAATGCTGCCACCTCCATTAAGCTCTATAACAAAACTCCCAGAGGCAAACATCATTAAAGCTAACAAATCTGAGGCAAAAATAACTTGGTCCAACTGGAAAAAATGTTAACTTCCCGAACGATATATTCCCATCTACACTGGACAGCTGTTTTTTCTTTTACACACATACCTTTGTGCCCTCCTCCAAATTAGCTACAAGCTCAACAAAGTTGTCATATGCAGTAGCCAAATTCTTCAAAACTTCTTCTCTTAAGTTAGCTTCATTGTTAGATTGTTTCATTTTCGAAAATTCCTGGTGTGAGACCTTGTTTAAAAAAAGACTTGTGTTATTTGCATTTATTTATGAAATTAACACAGCTCCTAACATTTTTATTGATACTTTCCCAACTATGAAAATCTTATGATTACATGCAGGAATTACTAGAAATTTATCTAATATTTCTTTTGGGGTAGCACAATGCTTTAAATCTTTCCTTAAGTAAAAATATCATAAAGTCAGTGCATGTCAAAACAACAATAATTACAGATTTCTATTAATACATAACACTTGTAAGAAAGACAATCCTAAATGAACACAGATTTAAACCAGGCTTACCCCTTTAATTTTTTAAAACATGTATCTTATTAAAGTATATAAACGTCACCTGAATATTTTGAAGAAGCCCTTCTTGTTTCTTCAGAGACTCCTGGACTTTAGTCGTAAGGCCCCCATAGATCCGATCCAGTTCGGTAACAGAGAGAGCTTCCTCGTTTATCACACCATCTTGAGCCAGAGCAGTCAAAAATTTGCTCGTCATGTCAAAATTCACTGACTTCAGGTCACTCTCGAGACCCTCTCTTTCCTTTTTTACCTCATCAAGATTCGCCAACAAGGATTTTAATACATTTACAACCTTAAAAAAAAAAAAAAAAACCTTAGTTTAATTGCCAAAAAAAAAAAAAGAAGCCAATTTCAAAAAGGGATGTATAGACAAAGGTTCAGCAAAGGCCCGTCCAGAGTCAGGAAGGGGTGACCTCTCAGACAGCCAGGCACAAACTGCCCATCGGACTGACGCACATGCAGACGCTGCCCCTCTGCGGGGCTCCGACTGCAGCAGCAGCAGCACCACCACCGGGAAGAGTGACAACGTACCAGGCAGTGTCCTCAACACTTGAGAAACGTAACTTAATGTTCCCCAGGTGAAGAAAATGAGCCTCAGAAAATTGGTGCAACAGGCCCAAGGCTGCACAAATACTGAGGAGCAGTGGTGAAACCTGAGACCTAGGCCTGCCCAACTCCAAAATCAATCTCTTGACCTTCTACACTACACTGCCCACCTCTCATGAGGTACGGGAAAGTGAATTCTGACAAGTCAATACCCTGTTCTGCCCACAGAAAAACTGACAGAGACAGACATATGGAGAGAGTCGTGGAGACGACAATACAGATACACACGGAGAGGGCACACTAGACATGAAAGGAGACAGAAAGATAAAGTATAAGCTGTTTACTTCATGTGCTGGGAGAGAAAGCAGGTTCTTATACAGCTCTTCATATCATTAAGAATTTTCTCTCGTTCAATCCAGGCAGTCTCTGACTTAATTCCACATGATTCAAAAACAGCCCTTTACAGGAACAAGTATAAAGACACATGGACAAAAACTAGGGGGGTGAAAATGGGAGGGAGGTGGGGAGCACTAGTGGGGTGGGCTGGGACGGGAGTAAAAGACAGAAAACTGTACTTGAACAGCAATTAAAATAAAAAAATAATTTTAAAAAAAGCATTTTATAGTGTTATAGTGCCCATGGGCCCTCTACTGCCACTGATGAACTACCCTCTTTCATTCACATCTCTTCACACTTTTGCTGGGGCCACCAAGGATAACACCAATCCCAACTCCCCTACCAGCATGCCCCAATGATGCTCATGAAAACGAAGCTGGAGAAGAGGTGAAGGAAGAAGGGGCATCCACGAACCCCACCTGCATCCCTGTGTGCCTGCTTAACAGCAGCATCCAACTCCAACGGATTTCCTCACCAACTGCTTACTGGTAGGAACCCCCGTCCACTCCTCATTTGGTCCCAGCAAGCCCCTACAAAAGGACTGTGCAAAGTAACCTTTTGTGAAGACTAAGACCTGAAGGAAAGTCTCAAGTTTCTTCTAAATGTAGGTGATCTTCCTTTTGGCCTCTGTTTACCAACCATACCTCCTAAGTGTCCTAATCTTAACATCTGGAGTCAATTGAAAAAAGAAAAAAAGAAAGGAAATGAGGAGTAGGCAGTAGAAAGAAATATTACTCCTTGAGGTCCAAGAAAGATCACATTACAGACACGCTAAAGGAAGGAAGAGAATGAACCCTAAGTGGACGGACATGACAAACTCTGTTTAAGAAATCTAGTGGAATGTGATGTTAGACAATGCTGGATAAAAAACTTATTTCCAAATAACTTCCAGGAAATTGAAAAAAGGTGCAGAAGAGTATATAAAACCTGCATTCTGATAAACAGAAATCAGCATATATGCATGCATGCGCAGTTTTTTGTGCAAGAAGAAAAGCACCAAGGACGAACCAGAAAGTAGTGAACATATTCCCCACAGAAAGTGGGTGGGAACCAGACGGGACAAAAAGGGATGAGAGTTCTCTGTACACATCTTTTGTGTAACATTTTTTCACATTCAAAATTAAAATGAAATCAAAACTTGAATACAGAAACAAATGAACTGTTCATCAAAGTGAAATATAATTACATAATAAAATATTTCAACTCTAACTGCATTCCCTTAGTGGACTTAATGGACTTAGTTATTGTGTAACCAAGGGCAGTTTGCTACTTAAAAAACTTCATTTTCTCACCTGCAAAATGAGAATAATAACAGTACCTACCTCAGGAGTGTTGTGAAAACTAAAATAATCCATAAAAAGTATACAATGTAATTTCCAAAAGAGAGTAAGTGTTCAATCATATTAGTCATTATTATTAACTGGTAGTGAGGTTTTATGGTTTAACTCTATATTTTGGCTACATTGTAGGCTAAAGAAGTTAGGCATCTAAGCGTTCAGACAGGGACAGAGGAAAAGATTAATAATGAAAGTATCCTTTTTGCTGAACTATAACTATTCCTGTAATTACGTGGCACCTTTTGTATTGGGGTTATGTAATAGGATAAAAATTTTAAAGGGTATTATCTGTTAGCATATTTAAACTGATAATGGAACCTCAACTATGACTTTGACTGAACACTTTCCCCTACAAATTCTGTTTAGCTATTACAAAAAATAAGAAATGTTATTTTATTCTCTCTATAAGTTACATCAAACCAAGGCTAGAAAGAAAGAGAAATAGTACTCGCTTCGGCAGCACATGTCCTAAAAAAGAGAAAAAAAAACAGCCAGGTTAAATAAAACTGGGAGAGAAACAGGAATATGCAAAACTGGTTAAAAAATAGTCTAATTAAGGACTTCCAGCCAAGATGGAGGCATAGGTAGACACACCGTGCTTCCTCCCACAACCAAGATAGAGACAACAACAATTTAGAAACAGAATAACAACCAAAACTGACAGAAAATTGAATTGAATGGAAGTCAGACAACCAAGAAAATAGACGTGTTCATCCAGACTGGTAGGAGGGGCGGAGTCCGGGAGCCGGGTGCGGGTTGTGGCGCGGAGATCAGAGAGAGTTGGGACCGTGCAGCCGAGGCATCGGGGTGCGCAAGACTGTAGAAGGTGGACCCTGAGTGCGCAAGCGGCAGCTGACAGACCCCGGCCGAAGAATGGCAAACAGCAGACCCAGCGAGGCAGGGATTGTGAAGCAAGGCACTACGCACAACCCAGGATCACAGCACTGGGAAATAGAGCCTTGGGGCACTGATTGAGGCCAGCTGTGGGGATTGAGGCACAGGGAGGGACTCTCAGCCTCACAGGAGAGGTCCTTGGAGGGTTCCACAGCGTGCACAAGCCCACCCACATGGGACTTGGCACCAGAGGCGCCCAGTTTGCTTGGGGGAAGCAGCAGAAGGGACTGCGGTCCCACGCAGAGCAGAGCAGGCGCCACTGCTCCCTCTCAGACCCCGCCCCCACATACAGCATCACAACCCAGCAACTGGGGTGCCCCGCTCTGGTGAACACCTAAGGCTCCGCCCCTAATACATAACAGGTGCAACCAGACCAAAGGGGGAAACAAACAAAAAAAAAAGATGGCTCAAACAGAACTGAAAGCCCCAAAGCCAGTTTTTTTAAGCGACCAAGAGATAGCCAATCTATCAGATGCACAGTTCAAAGCACTGGTGGTCAGGATGCTCACAGAATTGGTTGATTTTGGTCGCAAATCAGATGAACAAATAAAGGCTACAATAAGTGAAATGAAGAAAAATGAACAGAGAACCAATAGTGATGGAATGAAAGCTGGTACTCACATCAATGGAGTGGACCAGAAGGAAGAAAACAACAACCAGAAAAGAACGAAGAAATAAGAATTTTTAAAAAATGAGGAGAGGCTTAGGAACCTCCAGGACATATTTAAACGATCCAACATCTGAATTATAGGGGTACCAGAAGGAGAAGAGGAAGAGCAACCAGTGGAAAACTTATTTGAACAAGTAATAAAGGAGAACTTCCCCGTTCTGGCAAAAGAAATATACTTCCACGAAGTCCAGGAAGCTCAGCGAGTCCCAAAGAAGTTGGACCCAAGAAGGAACACACCAAGGCACATCATAATTACTTAGCCAAGGTAAAAATGAAGGAGAGAATCCTAGAAGCAGCAAGAGACCAGGAAACAGTCACCTACAAAGGAATTCCCATCAGACTGTCAGCTGATTTCTCAAAAGAGACCTTACAGGCAAGAAGGGGCTGGAAAGAAGTATTCCAAATCATGAAAGGCAAGGCCCTACATCCCAGATTGCTCTAACCAGTAAAGCTTTCATTTAGCATAGAAGGGCAGATAAAGTGCTTTTCAGATTAAAGGAGTTCATCAGCACCAAGCCTTTATTTTATGAAATGTTAAAGGGACTTACCTAAGAAAAAGAAGATTAAAAAAAACATGTACAGTAAAATGACAGCAAACTCACAATTATTAACAACCACACCTAAAACAAAAACAAAAAGAAACTTAGCAAACAACTAGAACAACAGGAACAGAACCACAGAAATAGAGATCACATGGAGGGATAGGAACAGGGGAGTGGGAGGAGGAAAGAAGGGGAAAAGGTACAGAGAACAAGTAGCATAGATGGTAGATAGAAAATAGACAGGGGGAGGGCAAGAACAGTATGGGAAATGTAGAAGCTAAAGAACTTATGACACATAGACATGAACTAAAGGGGGGAATGTGAGTGGGAGAGGGTATGCAGGGTGGAGGGGAATAAAGGGGGGAAATGGGACAACTGTAACAGCATAATCAATAAAATATATTTTTTAAAAATAGTCTAAGTTGAGAGTTAGGAACACTATAACTTGATCTTTTATAGTATAGAAACTGAGATCTTCTCAACAAATAGTGAGTTAAAATTGTGGTGATAACACCCCCAAGTTAGCTAGGAAGCATTATGAGCAGACAGACACGGTTCACATAAATACAACTTCCTCTTCGGTGAAGAACTAACTGCACACAGGGCAGGAGAGTGATGTAGGAAGAGAACCCCATCAGGATTTTAAGAACCCCAAGTTCTAATATCACCTGTGTTATGAAGAAAAGCTAACTTCCTAACTTTTATGTCAGTGAGTTTTCTAATCAGAATAGTAAAGAGGGACCAAAGACCAATTTAGTAAGTCTTGTGCCATAATGCTATGATTCTAAGTTTCTGAAAAAGAAAAAAAAAAGCCCTTTGAAACAATCAATTTATAAATGAACTTTTAAATTGTTACAGAGAAAAAGATTCATTGTATGACAAACATCCTTTTTTCTAATGGTCAAATTTACAAATGTAGCCATATTTCAGATACTAGCCTCATTTTAACAGAATAAATAAAACAGAAAAAATGAATTAGACTGCTTCCACAAATGAAATACCAGAATAGCAAGAACAGGAAACCACTGCCTAAATTTCTTATAAACCCCAGTTTACGACTTAACATGTTATCAAGCTAAAGTATATAAATAATTAAAAGAATCCTGGGGTATTTACTTCTATTTTATAAACCACTCCAATTAGCTTTCAACGACAACCACATTCCTTTACTATGTTGGGGTGCCAGTGGTTATCAGTCAATCAAATACTTTTGAATCACTATGTGTTGGGTACTGTTCTAGGTGCTAAAACAGAGTTCTTTCCTTCCCGGGAGGAAGAGCAGGGCAGAGAAGGAAATAATTAAACAAATATACAATAACAGAGTCACATGGTACACAAAGATTCTTTTACACCAGGGAGAAACGGAAGCCAAGCAAAGGGAAGAGAGTCTCCAACAGCAGGTGAAGCAAAAGTAAAGTCCTGAGGTGTGAACAAGCTTAGCACGTTCAAAAGCGGGCGCGCGGGGATGGGCAATCTGGTTGAAGTATAGCGAAGAAAAAACAAAACAGAGAGAAAGGCAGGAATGAGACCACCTACAGTCTCTGCACTTCATCTTTCATTTATCTTTCAGAACAGGGCTAGCACCCTTCCCCTGGAAAGGGTCGGATGGAAAGTATTTTTGGCTGGTGAACCAGTCTCTGCTGCAGCTATCCAACCTGCCTTTGTAATGTGAGCGCGGCCACAGACAAAATAAACGAAGGGGCGCAGTTATGTCCCAACAAAAATCTACCTACAGACACTGAAACTGGAATTTCATACCGTGTTCATTTGTCACGAAACACTATTCTTTTGACTTGTTTTCAACCATTTAAAAATGTAAAATGGATTTTTGGTTCTTGGGCCATACCAAAACAGGAAGCGGGCTGGATCTGGCCCACAGGCTGTAGTTTGCCTGTTTAGATTCGTAGCATTTAACAGCACCAAATAAATAAGAAATGCTCTCAATAAAACTCTCAACTCTACTCCTCAGACCCTGTCATTTACTTCCAGAAAAGGCCGGCACGAGAATACCTCCACACAACACAACAGCAGAAAGCCGGCCACACTCACCGGACACGAAGGCTAACCCAGAGGGGTTTTCTGTCTGTGTTAAGGACCACGGCGCCCAGCACAGTTCCCGGCTTCTAGTGGGCCCTCACGTGTTCATTTGGTGAACATATGAATGAATGGATGCCAGCCGTCTCTGCACTTGTCTATGAACCTTCTGTTACTAAAACTAAGAGTGAACGTTGTGTTTGTAGACCACCCATCAGTCTAGAGGGTACCTTTGTCTGAATCAAACAGAGTACCTGCTGGGAAGCACAGCTTTAGTGGCGCACAGTCCCACTCTGTGCACCACCTCTGAGAAGAAGATGTTTTCCAGCCTCCATCACCCCAGGAAGATGCAATACTGTCACTATAAGTGGTTATCACCTTTCTGCAGGGGAGAGCTCTTTCTTTGAGCGAGAGACCACATTCACATAACTTTTATTATAACTGTTGTCTTTTATTATTGTTGTTAATAAATTACTGTACCTAATTTACAGATTAAACTTTATCATTGGTATGTTGTATAGGAAAATATACAGTATACATAGGATTCGGTTATTTTCGGTCTCAAGGATCATTATTCCCCTTGGATAAGCAGGGACTCCTTTGTCCATCAGGTTCCCCATCTGGAGCCCCTTTAGAGATTCAGGTTCTGTGCATACTCAACTGTGCAGTCTTCTCTTAACTTAGGGGCTGGTTCCCACTGAACCTCTAGTAGCTTCCCTGGGCACACCTACTCACTCAATCCTTAGATCCTAGACATGCTCACTTCCTCTATCTTTCTACTCTTCTCATAATGTGCCAGCTTGTTAAGAAGTCTCTGAAGAGAGGAGCCCCGAAATGCTGGGATCTGAGGACTGTGTCATCTACATCTTCACAGCGTACTTTCTGTAGCTATGCTACGTAGGTTTCCACCCAGTACTGCCGTTATCCTTATCTGTGCCTAATCTTCAGCATGGGACTGTAACAAAGGGTGAAGGCTCTGTACGACTCCTTTGTGAATTTGTTTCAAAGTACCTAGCATAGTGCCCTGCACAGATTAGATGTATGAGTCTTGGATGAGTAAATACAAGAAATGCTTCTGTGAAAAGACAAGTAAGAAACAACACTGACAAATTCTGAGATCTACTATCCCAAGGAAATTCATCTTTTTCTAGTTTTCAGCAGAATTTCTTGCCCTGTGGCTTATTTTCCGGCGTACTTCCAGGCCTCTACCTTATCCCACTACATCCCTCCTCAGGCGCTAGATCATACTCGCATTTCTCCTCTTTCAGGACGCTCCCAACCAGATGGCCCACTATTGATTTCTTCCTTCCCGTCAACCAGAGAGAGGCCACACCACTGCCGCTGCCGCCGCCCCGCGGCCACCGCCCGTGTATTAACATGCACACCGTGTCGGCGCTCCCTCCAGAGGTAGCACCCGGGGAACACGGCGGGATGGGGGAAGGCAGTGCAGAGAGACGTCAGAAACAAAGAACGTGCCGTCAGGAAAACATCTAGCGAAACCTGGTCCTTCCACTTCAGGGAATTTTCTCCCTTCTATAAAACCTTAATCAAATACTGTGAACATAAAGGGTGTATACAATATAGTACACCCAGCTAACGAGAGGCATTCAATAAATGGAAATTATTATTACAGGATAGTAATGATATCAGCATAATTACCTATTACTCAGTGTATATATCCTGCTACTTTAAATATAACAACCTCAATTAACATCTGTATTCTCAAAAAGATGCCAATAAGAAAGCAATGGCCAATCTGCTGTTTGTAATAGCTTGAACACAGTGTTCATAAACAGATGATCAGCCACATCAAAATGCATCTCTCACCTCGCTGCCCTGCATGGTCTTCGCCGGGTTGGCAGAAGGGATGGCAGCGTTCAGCTCAGGCTCCGGCTTACACAAAAGGGCAATGGTGTCGCGGTGAGACTGGTAACGCTCTTTCACCTGTGCATCTGCCTGCACAGCTTTATCCAAAACTGCTCTGAAGTTGGCTCCCTCTGTGGGAAAAAAGAATGGTATCAGAGGACAGCACTGATTTTAACAGTAATGTTCATAGATTGATCGTACTTTTGGTTCTGAGGTGCTCCTACACACCCCAATTCGTTGTACTTCACTTTCAGCATTTTGGAGCTCCTCTCTTAAGAGACATCTGACTTTTATTATCCCCCTTCTACAGGCCCCGATTTGCTAGATAACAGAAACTCAGCTCCAGTCTGTCTGTGAATTTGTTTTTGAAAAACCAACCATAAAGCAAATGCACAGTTATACCTTCCAATACATCTGTGCTCACTGTTCACCAAATAAAAGGTAATTGACATTAATCTTCCCCCATAGCTCATAAATATAGAAAGAAATCATTCATCCCCTAGTTATAACTTATTTAAAAAGCGTCCTCTCTCAAAGGATCACTGGTTCAATTTGACTTAAAAACACCAAAGTTGTCAAAATAATAATTTGGCTTCAAATTAACTGTTCTCTTAAAATCATCTCTTACCACCCAGGATTCAAGTAAAATGAAATTATAAAGTCATACATATAATATGATCTCATTTATGTAAAATATGCACAGGAAAGGAAGAGTTATAGGATCATTTTAATTTTCACTGTATATCCTTCTTAAGAACCCAAATTTCTTATAATAAACATGAATCACCTGTTATATTTTTTTATCTTACAATGAGCCAAGGAACAACACCTGGGTTTTCACACTGGCAACAGCTGCAGTAAAAACAGGTTTACAATCGAGCCTAATTTAATCAAGCAAAAATATGGATCCACATTGCCACTTTACCATGTGGAGGTTATTCATGCACATTTTTACCTGCTCTTAAAGGCTTGTAGAGTTCATTGGATGCTGTCCTTTGCCAGCGTTCTTTGAATTTTGCTCTTAAATCATTGTCAGTTGCTTCTTCTTCATCCAACAATCTTAGTGACTTTCAAAAAGGAAGAGAAGCAAGAATGAGATATTTCTAGGGTAATTTTTTTTTAATTTTTTAAATTATCATACTCAAAGTATGTGAGAATTAGTGAGCTAGGACTACTCTTACTTTACTAGTTAGAATATAAATTGGTACAACAATTTTTGTTGCAAAATTCATGTTACAATGTATTTAACAAGAAGTCCTGTTAAATGAAGGAATAGGTGAGCCATTACCTTACCCAGTAAAATTAAAAAAGGAAGAATAACTAAGAGATTATGTATAGCCATATACCAAGACAACTTTAAGCAAAAATAAAAATAAACAGAAAGCTTTGCACCTTAGAAACCATAAACAAAATAGAGAGAAATGGATTAACTACATGAAAATAAAAGATTTAGACTTCTATCCTCACAATGCACTGAAAAATAACGTAAAAAATGCTTTTGTAATGCACAGCTGAGGAGACAGGCAGTGGGGTCCAGAAACACAAGGAGGTAGAAACCAGTGGAAACAAACTAGAGCCCATGGTATCTGCTAATCTCTGATGGCTAGAGCACAGAGCAGCACACTTCTCTGTCAAACGCTGCAGTGAATGTTTTAGGCCTGGGGGGCCACAGTCTCTGTCACATAGTCTTTTTTTTTTTTAACAACCCTCTTAAAATGGTGATCATTAGTGAACCATACAAAACAGGCCACAAGCCAGGGCTGGTCCACCATCTTTAGTTTGCCAACCAGTGGCTTACAGTGTGAATGTAACAGAACCTGAGTAGAGAGAGCCCTGGCTGGTGTGGCTCGAGTGGTTGGAGTGTTGTCCCGTAAACCAAAACGTTGCAGGTTCAGTTCAGGTCAGGGCACATGCCTAGGCTGCGGGTTTGTTCAGTCCCTGGTTGGGGCGCATACGAGAGGTAACCAATCAATGGTTCTCTCTCTCTCTCCCCCTCCATTCCCCTCTCTCTAAAATCAGTAAGCATGTCCTCAGGTGAGGATAGAAGAAAGAAGAACATGAGTAGACACAGAAATATCAGTGGGCTAATAAGAGCTGGAGGACAGATCAAAGGCACTATCCTCTCTCAAACTGGGACATTTCCAAATGAGTGACACTCACTGGATGAATTTTGAACAAGAAAACTTCCCAACAGAAGGAAAATTACCTGTATGAAACCTTGGTTCTAAATAGAAAGGAAAAGTACCACCTAAGATCCCGAATTAAAAGCGTGAACTTAGGGACTGAAAATTACACTACCTATATGACACAAAGTCCCAAGATGCACTTTGAACTTAAAAATTAACCACACACACACACAAAAAACCACAAGTTTAAAATGGTGTCAGGTATACAATGCCTTTCCATAACAGAGGCAAACAAATATCCTCTCTAGAAGAATTCACTTTAAACCCAGCTCTCAGAGAATTCCTACAAATAAAATTTCAGGGTATGTGAATTCACAAAAAAAAACAAAACAAAACAAAAAACATTGAACAGTAAATGCAATGTAGTATTCTGGACTGGATCATAAAGGAGAAAAAGGACATTAATGGAGTAACTGATAAAATCTGAGTAATAATATTATACCAATGCTTATTTCTTCATTTCCACAAATGTACTGTGGCTACAAAAGGCTTTAACTTTTATGGAAGCTGAGTGAAGAAACTCTCTGCACTATTTTACAACTTTTCTGTAAATCTAAAATTATTCCAAATATAAAACTTCCTGGAAAGGAAATGCTGAAACTATACTTGCAGATGATGTGACCTTATATACAGGAAATCCTAATGAATCCACAAAATAACTATGAGAAATAATAAACAAATTCAGTAAAGTTGAATAATACAAAACCAGTTGTATTTCCACACTCTAGGAATGAATAATCAAAAAATTAAATCAACAATTCCATTTATGATAGCATCAAAAAGGATAAAATACTTAAGAATAAATTTAACCAAGGAAGTGCAAGACTTGTACATTAAAAACTACAAAACATTGTTGAAAGAAATTAAAGGACTAAATAAATGAAATAATCACCCTGTGTTCATGGACTGGAAGATTTAATATTAAGATCAGCAGTACTCCCCAAATCAATCTAGAGAGTCAATGTAATCCCTATCAAATTATAATACTAACTTCAGGATTTTCTATATATAAGATCAAATCAAAAACACAATGAGATTCCACTTCATACCCACATGAATGGATGTATTTTTTTTAAAGAGAAAACAATTATAAAGAGTTAATGAGGATGTGAAGAACCGGTAACCTTCAAACACCGCTGGTAAGAATTAAAATATTGCAGCTGCTCTAGAAAACAGTTCAGCAGTTCCTCAAAAAGTTAAACATACTGTATAACCCATTAACTCCACTCCTCTGTTACATGCCCAAAAGAATTAAAAACAGGTGCACAAACAAAATGTATAAAGAAATAGCAGCATTATTCAGAATAATCAAAAGGGGAAAACATCCCAAATATCTATCACTAATGAATGGGTAAACAAAATGTGGTACATCCCTACAATGGAACATTATTTTAGGCATAAAAAGAAATGAAGTACTGATACACACTATGGATGAAGCTTGAAAACATGCTACGTGAAAGGCAGAAAACTAAAAAGGTCACATATTGTTTATGATTCCATTTATACAAAATGCCCAGAATAAGCAAACCCATAAAAACAGAAATCAGACTGGTGGTTTTTGAGCGCAGGGGGAAGGGAGAATAAAAGATGACTGCTAATGGTACTGGGTTTCTTTCTGGGGTAACAAAAAGTTCTGAATTTAGAAAGTGTTGATGCTCACACAACACTGTGAAAGTACTGAAAGCCCCTGAATTGGACACATTAAAACGGTTAAAATGGTGCCCAGACTGGCGTGGCTCAGTTGGTTGAGCATCGTCCCACAAAGCGAAAAGACCAGTTTGATTCCGGTTCAGAGCACATGCCTGGGGTGTGGGCCAAGTCCCCAGTTGGGGGCATGCGAGAGGCAACCAATCCATGTTTCTCTCACACACTGACGATTCTCCCCCTCCCTTCCCCTTCTAAATAAATAAATAAATAAATAAATAAATAAATAAATAAATTGCTCTTTTCTTTTAAAAATGTACAATTTTATGTGAATTTCACCATTTAAAAAACCACGCATGTAATTGTGAGATAAACATACATGATTTTTTAAACAACCAATTAGATATCTTAGAAACGAAAAATATTTAAAAAATCATTTTAAAAACTCAACAGAATGACTAAAGAACACAAAAGGCAGAGCTCAAGAACCAGTTAATGAACTGGAAGGCTAGCCTGAGACATTCTCCCAGAAAAACAAGAGCACAGAAAGGAAAAGAAATACTGAGAGGTATGAACTGTTCCAAAACCACCACCACCAATCTAACAGAAATTCATTAGGACATAATAGGAAAAAAACAGAGAAAAGGGAATAACTGAAGAAAAAGAATCCATGAACAGAAATCTAAGATTGAAAGGGCCCAACAGGTCTCCAGCAGGATAACCTTATTATTTAAAAAATAAATTAGTGGACACTTCCACACTGCTGAACAATCAAGATTTTCTAAAATACAGAATCTAAATTTCTACGACCTGCCAGACAAATGAATACTCAAAAAGAGTACCAGCTTCACAGCCTATTTACTTTACAACTTACTGAACATGAGACTCTCCAAATGCAGCTGGCAACAATAGTGACCCTAACTCGCAAGGCTGTTGCAAGAACATCAAATAGGATAAATAAAAGTACCTCATATTAAGAGAGGCACACAACAGACATATCATAATGTGTATCATTAATAACACACATTAGTGTGTATTAATAATGCCAGTTTTTCCTTAATTATAACATGAGCTTTTTCACATTTCCAATAAAGATGCTCCTCACAATTGATATAGAGTGTTTCATTAGGCAATGTTCTTTTTCCATAAAATTTATTTCAAAATCAAATATGCATCTTCCAATCAATGAGATCTTAAAAATCAAAGAAATACAGTAATATTTAATATTAAAATAACTAACAACTAACAGGCACATGTATGTCCCACTTCACAACTTTCTTATCTGCTTAAACACTACTGTCTCCACTTTTTGGATGAATAAACTGAGACATAAAGATGTTAAGTAATTTGCCTACATCAGTTAAAAGAAAGAACTGGGAATCAAGTCCAAATATAACTTCACGTTTAGAAACTCTAACAACTAAATTATGTCTAAACTATCAAATCTTAAATAATGATTTATCATTATAACTTCTACTTACTGAAAGCTCCAGACTGATTCTCACTTGACTTGCGATACCCGCCTTTTCCAGTGTTTATCTCCTCCCTCACTGTCCATTACTTCTTGCTGCTCGCACTTAGGTGCGACCTCAAACAGCACTCTCCACTTTCTTCTCCCTGTGTCTGACTACTAGTCCAATATTCTTTCACTTGCGACACCAGATAACAAGCTTACTGGACCCACAAATGAACACATTTTAAAGGACTACGAGGTAAACTCACAAATGAAGTCTAGTATGACCTTAACAGCAGTGTTTGTCAAACATTAATGTGCACCCAAATCACCCTTGGATCTCATTAAATGCAGATCCTGATTCAGTAGGTCAGGGTAGAGTTTGAGATTCTGCATTTCAAACAAGTTCAGAACGGGAAGGCCTTGGTACTCAACTATGTGACACCAATTCTGTTTGCTTTCGTTTTTCTGATTATTCGCTATACCTACATAGGAAGGGCTGTTAATGTTGACTGTATAACGGATGTAGAACCCCTCATCAGTTTCCCCAGGCCAATAATGCAATAAGTAAGCTTTCATTTAAGTTTCCTAACTGTTTTCAATAGCTGATTTGCACCAAAAGGTGAATAACTACCATGAACTGAACAGCAGTCCAGATGCCTGCCTGTTCAATATTGTATCATATGAGTTTTAACAGCTACAATGTTATCATCACCACAGTAATATAACAGTAATAGTAATAATAGCTATAATTTATTAAGCATATACTGTGTGTCCGGTAGGCTAGGCATTTCACTGCTTTAGTTTCATTCAGCCTTCAAATAACCCTGGGGGGTAAATATTCTTATCCCCAAGGTTCACACAGTCACAAGTTTGTAAGTGCTCTACCCCTGCCCCAAAGTACTTGGAAATGATGTAAATACAGTATCTTCTGAAAGTTAACTGAAACATCAGAACATCAGGGATGAAAGCTTTGATAAAAGAGTTCCCTAAGAGAGACGTGACTCCTAAACTGGCTCTTGCTTGACTACATTTACAGTTGAAGACAGATGTGTGTCAATCAGGAGAACAACACTGACGAACAGTTGGCTTTAGCCAAAAAAAGTTGGGTGTTCCATTCCTATTGATAAAATACCCTCTCTACTGGAAGATGGACTTAGTGGGCTCATAAAACATTTGATTGGCCCCACTTCCTTTGTCTGAGTCCATGTTCACCAAAAACCCAATCTTTAACATGAGGAAATAATGAGTTATGAAGACTTTGAACAACAGTTTGTGTGACAGTAGTTTATCACAGTACAGTAGTATTACACAGTGGTCATAATATGTTTAATTAATGTGCATTTACATACCCTTACGGACATGTATGAATCTATTCTCACTCGATCGAAATTCTTCTTGAGGCTGAAGGTCAGGCTCTGGGCCACAGTAATTCACCAAGATGAGCACTGCCCTGTGAAGTCCAATAGGAGGAAGCCTCCGGGACTAAGGAGTAAACCCTGCTAGACTCCAAAGAGTCAAACTGTCTTCATTTGAAAGGCAAATCTCTTAAAACATACCTCATCAAGGATTTCTCTATTTCTCTGGAGTAGTTCAGGTAGCTCTTTGATCAACTGATCTACAGTCTGGATGCCTCCCTGTCCTATCACAGACGCAGACTTAGTCAGTATAGACTGAGGTACGGTATCTCCAGATATATCTTCAATTGCTGCTGGAAGATTAAGGGAAGCTAGCACCCTGAAAAAATAAAATACTATGTTATACATAGGTCTAAACCACATCTCAAACATGAATCTATATCCAACCCAACAGCAATGAAGTTACCATCCCAAAAGTGGGTAAGCCCAATCAACAGAAAAATAAAGCAAAAAGAAAGGGAAAAAGAGAAATTCAGTGACTGATAAAATTGTAATAAGATCATTAAAAAATCAAGTTATCTAAGTTCACAGTTCAGAATTAAAAGCCAGAAAGTTAGAAATATACATTAAAATATAATAAATACCTTTGGCTGACAATTCAAACTTAACTTCTTTCAGTCTAAGTAATCAAAAGTCAAAAAGTCTATCTTAAAACTGTAATCTTTTTATTATACTTCTGTTATACTGTCACTGACAATCAAAATAGTTATAATTTTGTATCATCGAGGCAAAATGTCAAGAAAACATGGTTGATCTAAGTATTAATTATAGAATCTTCATCTGTTCTCAGTTTGTGGCACAGTAACAATTATTCTGTTATTTCATTTATATAATAAAGGCAATGTTACACTTATGTTGCTTTCTTGCTAGAAAAAATGAGGTCAAAATTCATGCATTCATCAAAACTAGAAAGATGAAAAAGTAAACCAGACTATGAGAAAATATTCTCAATAACATATTATCTGGCAAAAGACTTGCCTCTAAAATATGTCGAGTTCTTCAAAGATTCATAAGAAGAAAAATAAGCTTTAAAAGATTTTAAAAAATTTAAAAAAAGATTTCAACAGACACTTCACAGAAGATATATGAATGGCTAATAAGCACATGAAGAGTTGCTCACCATCTTTATTATAATCAGGGGAATACAAATTAAACCACAATAAGACACTGGTACACACACAAAAACAGCCAAAATTAAAAAGACTCAATTTAAAAAAAAAAAAGATTGACAATACTAAGTGCTGCTGAGCATGCAGAGCAACTACATTTCTCAAACAGTGCAGGTGGAAATATAAACTGGAACCACCACTGTGGAAAACAATCTGTCCATTTCATATGATGTTACACATACACTAAGCACACCACTCAGCAAGTCTAATCCTCACTATTTACCCAAGAGAAATAAAACATGTCAACACAAAAGCTTGTGCATGAGTGTTCACAATATCAACATTCTGAAACATTCACCAACAGGTGAAAGAATAAACACACTGGTAATTAACCATAAAATGCTGCTCAGAAATACAAAGAATCAAACTAATACCACAATATACATATGAATCTCAAAAACATTATGTTAAATGAAAGATGCCCAATACATTTTGAGTATATACTGTAGATACTTATACATATCAGAAGTATTGTATACTGTAATAGCATACTGTACAATGTACTATAATATACACAGTGCACAATTATAATGATTACATTTATATTAAATTGTATAAAGAGGAAAACTAACCTAAAGTGACAGGGAGCAGATCAATAGTGGCTGGGGGGGCAGGGAAGGAGAAACTGAAGGGAAACAGGCATGAGGGAGTATTTTAGGTTGATGGAAATGTAGTCTCAGTTGTGCTGGTGGTGGTGGTGGTGACAAGGGCCACTCACGTTTATCAATGGAACTGAACTATACATTTAGAATGGGTGTATTTCATTGTATGAAAATTATATTTAAGATATTTTTAAAACCAATGAATCCACCAAACACAAAAAACAGATTCAGAATACTGAATGCATCATGTATCTTAACTTAAAAAGTTTATTTTTACTTCTCATTTCCCTCAAATAAATATCACCTAATATATAAATTAGTGATCAGACAGTTTCACTTTGTTTCAGTAATTAAATTTCTTCTGACATTTGGTAAGCCTTAATAAATACAGCGTGCCCAAGATATGCATGTATGTGTGTGTGCCAATATTTGCTATGTCACATAGTTTTGACACTCATCTCCAAGCTCAAAAAAATTTCACGAATTGTTTCATTAAAGAACAATCACACATAGAACGTTAAGCTTGAGAGATAAATTCATGAAAGGGAAGCTCTACCTACCCATTTGCCAAAGTGGTAGCCTCTCTCATTTGGGCAATCAGTCTGTTCACCAACTCAGCTTTCCGCTGATTGCAGGCCGCCAGGGACTGCTGCACTGACACAGGAACCATCTTCTCAAACAGATCTGTGGTTAGGAAGAACGGCAACGCCAACATGTGGGGACAAAAACTCAAATTATAAAGTGATTGTTCTCTTTCCTTCCCAATATTCATATAAACAGTCTACAAATACTCAAAGGTAAAACTAAATCGCTATGGGAAGTACAATGATGAAGGGAATCTTCAGATCAGTGTATTCACAGACAATGACAATGCAGTGTCTTCTCTGAACAGAAATGTCTTACCTTTTAGATGTGTCTGTCATTAAGTTTAAGGAATCTTTGGTGAAGAAGAGTTAAACACAAGAAAACACTGTTCATTTGTTTTGTTCTACAGTGCCATGGTTTCCACTTCCTAACTCTGCAACCTTGGACAAGTAAACTACTTAACCACTGTGCATCAGCATCCTCGTCCGTCCTGTGGGGACAGCAGCACCAAGGTCTGTTGTGGGACTGTTGTGAAAAATAGGTGAACGAGTATTTGTAGAGTGCTTAGAAGAGTCTATGGCACATGGCAAATACTTTGTGTTTGTTAAAGAGACATAAGTAAAATAATCACCCTTTCCCAGTAACTTAGATTATTAACTATATTTGGGATCTCAGCTACAGGCTACCATACATTGGATGTACCTACAATATCCAAGGATATTATAACATGTATTTATCTAATACAATCATGATTCCAGAACTTGAGAGGTTTCAAGTCACATTTATGAACATTAATTTTTAACGGCAGAATCTTAAATAACATAACAAATGTTAACAAAATGACAACTGCTTAGTCTTGATCATTACTCAAAAGCAGTTCCAAGTTTTCTGATTGTTATATACTCTATACATGCTTTATTGCCATTTACTTCCCATCCTGAACTTTCACTGTAGACATAACAATTTTTATTCTCATAATCATTTTGAACAATATGAATGCAAATTATATTCAAAGCATACAATCACATTGTGTGATTTGGGGCTACAAAAAAAAACAGGTTAAACTAGAGAAAAGATGAGTAAGATAAACTGCATCTGAATACTTGACATACCAGTGAATTTCTGGCTAATGGGTACATTGATTGGAGTAGATTTCACAAGTGTGGCTTTGCCAATAGGGTCTAGGTCTTTGAGGTCTGGAACTCGATCATGGTATATGAAGTCATTATCCTTCTTTGCTGCAGTAAGGGCACGGCTGATTTTGTCAGAAAAATCCTTCACATTGACATATTCATCATAGCGAGCTGCCACTGTTTTAATCAGTTCTGCTGCATGCTAAAGAGAAAATGTGGAAATCACACATTTTACTTTTTCTCAAGGAAAATTACACATTTTACTTTTTCTTAGCTGAGAAAAGGAAATTACTTATTTTTCTCAACCAAGCATTGGTTTTTGTAAATTAAAAAAAAAAACCTCTAATTTAAGGATTTGCATTTCCAGCAATGTGGTCAACAGAATAACCTAGAAATTTTCCCATCACAAACTACCCCCAAAATGAAGAATAACACATAGCAGACATCCATTTAAACACATGTGTGAATTACCAAGAAAATAAAAGAAACCCATGGGCCAATAAGTACACACTGACATTGAGGAAGGCTGCAAGCCCAGTATTTCTGTAACCTAAAAAGGAGTCAATAAAATAAGTAACCCCCCGCCCCATAGAGACCTGAGATGGGGTCTAAAAACGATGTAAGACAGAGAACTGAGAAACAGCCCCTTTACTACTTCATATGAAGGCAGGAACGTCCAAGGACAGCACTCACAGAGAAGAGTGAATCAGGAAAAGAATTACCCAGCAACACAGAAATCAACAAAGAAACGAGATGTCTCAGCATCAATAGAAATTTTTTGAAAAGGGGTTTGCCATTATAATTCATAAGATGAGCATATGCCTCACATAAACTTAGAGCCCAAATTATATGACTTAGGTGGAATCTGCTAGAGTAACATCACATAAAATAGACAATAAAGCCAAAAGCATTATTCAAAATAAATTCAGTACATAATGTTTAACATGTGCCAATTTGCCAGAAAGATATGAAACTTCTTAAATTTTGCATTTAATACTTAACAGTCTCTAAACTAAGAAATTAATAAATCTACCCATCATCACAGCGGAAGATTTTAACACTCCTGTCTCAGTGATGTCTGGACCAAGTAGAAATTTTTAAGATTACAGAAGACTTAAACAACATAAAATTGAGTTTAACTCATGAAACATGGAAAACCCTGAACTCCACTAGTAGAGAATACATAATATTCTCAGGCATTTAGAGAAATTCTATACAAAGTGATCACATGAGGAGACAAGCAAATTTAAAACACCAAAATTACAGAAATACAAGAATGGTTTAATACAGTATTAATGAATCTACTTATTTAATTCTTCAACTAATAGATTTGAGTTTTTCAACAATCAAATTATCTCCATAGGTATTAAAAAAAATTTTGAACCCTGACCAGATAGCTCAGTTGCTTAGAGCATTGTCCAGATGTGCCAAGGTTGGGGGTTTGATCCCCATTCAGGGCACCTAACAAGAGTCAGCCAAGGAATGTATAAATAAGTGAGACAATTAATCGATGATTCTCTCTACCCCTCAAAAATCAATTTTAAAAATATAAAATTCAATATTCATTCTTGATTTTTTAAATCCTTACTCATAAAACAAAAATAGAAATCTAGTTCCTTGACATGATAAAATCTTAACCCGCAAAGCTGATATCATGCTTAACAGAAAAATATAAGAAACATCCCTAGGGGAAAAAAAAATCCCTAGGACCAAAATAAAACAAAGATCACCAGTATCAGCACAACCAAAGAACATGTGAAAACAACTAGACAAAAGAATGGAATCAGTTATTAAAGTCAGATAAGAGAAAGAAAAATGTGTATCTGTATACCTGGAAAACCTGCAAGAATCAACTCCACTATTCTAAGCAATGAGAAAGGTAGCTTAGATATGAAACCAACAGTGCAATACAGATAAACAACCAACAATTTGAAGAGATGACAAAATAAATAAATCCACTGTTACTGGCAACATGAAGGCAAAATGCCCATACATGCAAGGTCAGTATGAAACTATGGAGAGGCGTAAGGACAAACAACAAAAGCTACATCTTCAGTGTAAACTAGAAAATGGAAAAATGTACAAATTTAAATCACTTTTAAAATCTGTAAGTCAAATTTGATTTGTAAATGTGATCAAACACTCCCCCAAATAGCAAAATTAGTACTAGAACCATAAAATACACTAAATACATCAGGAGAAAAAGGGGACTGCTAAGGGCCCCACCTGGAGTGGGAAGCGCTGTAAGTAACCTGAGAGCTATGAAATGGAATGAGGTACCAACGGCCAGCTGATGACAAAGGCAAAGCCAAATGGCCCATATGTTGAGCCACCAAGGAGTCACCAAAAAAAAAAAAAGGAGTGCTGAGGAGCCTTATCCCAAGAGGGAGTTGCTGAGAGCAAGAGGCAAATTAATTACAAGGGCAGGACTGCTGGGGGAAGCAAAAAAGAGGAGGACTGAAAAGCGGGAAGAAAGAAGTGGGGTAGCACTCATACAAACTCTAAAAGCAGAGGCATCACCTTCTCAAGGTACAAACTCCAAGTGCATCAAAGATCCAAGCAAATGCTGTGAGGAAGTCAGAGAAACAGAGGTACAGAAGTGGAATCCTTCCACTTCTAAACCAGGCTAGGCTTTGAGAAGTGAAGGGAGAAACCTCTTGGAAAGCTGCAAGGCCACACCCAAACACCTCTTGCTCTTTCTCTACTAAAATCAATCTGATTCAAACACAAGTACCTGTAAAGGCATCCCATCCGAATGAACACAGAGAAACCATACAGAAAAGGATGAAAATGGGCAATGTAACTTTCCAATAGATAATGAAAATTCACCAAAAAAATGTAGCCACAAAGCAGATGAAAATAGCATGTGGGGGGAGGGGGGGGACTAAAAAAACCTAAAGGCACAATCACAGTACCAAAAAAACTACAAAATATGAACAGAGTACCAGCTGGCCCAGATAATGGTGGGTAATCACCAGATAGCAAGGGAATATGGAACAAAAACTGACAGAGCTTAGGAAAGTGAAATGTGAAATCATTTAAGAAAAGAAAGACTGAAATATTTATACAAGGAACAGAAAAGGGATAACAAGACATCAGAGAAATAAATCATTGTAAGAAACACAAAACAAGAAAAAGTGAGGAAAATTCAGCAAGGCAGTTGGGGAAGGGGAGGCTATTAGGAATTAAAAATTTATGAGACACACCAACCACATGAAATGTGAGGATCTTATGTGAATCCTGAGTTGAACAAACTGTAACAAGACACTTTAGGAATAATAAGGAAAAACTAAACTAGGTCTGAATATAAGTTACTGGTACTAATTATTAATTTGTACTAACTAGTATTAATTTTGCTGGATGTGATGACAGTATGGTTTCAATTTTTTTAATCCTTGTCTATTAGAGACACATACATACTTAAGGATAAAATGATACACAATTGCTATAATATACTCTAAAAACGTAAGAGGTGAAGAGGGAATCGATGAAAAACAAGTAGCACAATAATGATAATAATTCAGGCTGGGTAATGGATATTTGGTAATTCATACTTACATAAATACGTTTAAAAATTTCCATAATAAATGGTTTAATAAAATAAAATTCATCTAGAAGCATAAACAAGCAAAAACAATCAGGAAAATTCAGAAAATGATGACAATACCTATCAGGCATTAAAACATTCTAACGTGCCTGGCCTAAATGGTGCGGAACTGAAACATGAAAAGGTAAAGAAGCCAAAGAGGGAGAACAAAGGGTTTAGAAACGGACCCCAATACTCATGAAAAATTTAGAATGTGGTAACATCAGAATCCCAAATCAGTGGAGTAAAGAAAACCATAATGAATGGTTTGAGGACAACCAGGTAGCCGTGTGGAAAAACAAAAATTAGATCCATACTTCCCATCATGTACCAGGATAAGCTCCAAGTGGATCTCTGATATAGTATAATATATCAAAGTATAATATATAATAAATTAGATACATTTATACTTTGATATCAGCAATCCTATTCCTAGGAATTTAAGATATACCTGCCGTGATGGACTGAACGGTGTCCTCCCCAAAATTCCAATGCTGACACACTAACCCCCAAAGTGATGGGATGTGGAGACAGGACCTCTGAGAGATTATGCTCAGGTGAGGTCATGAGGGCAGGGCCCTCGTAAGAACAGACACCAGACAGCTTGCTCTCTGTCCCCCAACCACGTGAAGGCACAGGCAAAGGAGAGCTCTCTTCAGAGCGTGACCGTGCTGGCACCCTGGTCTCAGCCTTCGACCCTCCAGAATTGTGAAAAAACAAATTTCTGCTGTTTGAACCACCCAGTCTGTGGTATTTTGTTATGAAGGCCCAAGCTGAGACATACCTGCTAAGATACAAAACACCAAGTGTACATAATTACTCACTGTATACTGTTTGCAGCAGTGAATCTTGGAAACATGTAGTATTCAGCAACTGGTTTATATAATGAAGTACAATCCAGCTCATAAATAAATAAATGAATAAATAAATGAATAAATAAATAAATAAATGCCCTGGCCAGTGGCTCAGTTGGTTGGAGTATCATCCCCAGTCAGGGCACATACCTAGGTTGCAGGTTCAATTCCCAGGTCAGGGTGTATACGGGAGACATCCAATCGATGATGCTCTCTCATATCAATGTTTCCCTCTCTCCCCCCACTCCTCTCTAAAATCAATGAAGATATATGCTCAGATGAGGAAAAAGGAAGGAAGGAAGGGAAGGAAAGAGGGAGGGAGGGAGGGAGAAAAATGAGAAAGATCTCCCTATTGCTATATTAAAATGAAGAGACCTTCAGAATAAATTATGAGAAAAGCAAGAAACAAAACTTGCTTTCATACTTCCCTCTTATATAAGTGGGAGAGTTAAGAATGTGCACTGTTTGTATGTATGCATTGTATGTACTTGCTTGTATTTCAAAGAAAAACAACTTTGAAAGAATTAAACAAGAAACTAATAGAAATTACCTATGATGCAGTGGGTAAAAAGGATGGAAGAAACCAGACAATAGGAAAAGGTAGAGGGAATGTACACCTTTATATATACCTGTTTCCCAATTTTTATTTTGAAAATTTTCAGGCCCACAGAAAAATTAACAAAACAGACCCTCTAACTAGATTCAACAATTGTAACCATTTTGCCATATCTGTTTTATCTCTCTCTTCCTCAAATATACACATACACTTTTTTTTGTTTTGGCTTCCCCCACCCCTTGCAGAACTGTTTCAAAGTATTAAATTCACACATCAAGACCTTGCATCCCTAAATACCTCAGCATGTATGTCCTAAAAAGAACAATTTCTTTATTCCTGTCTGGTGTGGCTCAGTTGGTTCAGCGCCGTCACACAAAGCAAAAGGTCTCCAGTTCCATTTCCGGTCAAGGCACACGCCTGGGTTGTGGGTTGTGGGTTCTGTCCCCCACTAGAGCACGTGCAAGAGGCAACCCACTGATGTCCTCTCACATCACTGTTTCTCTCCCTCTCCTCCTCCCTCCCTTCCCCTCTCTCTAAAAAAATAAAATCTTTTTTTTAAAAAGAACAATTTCTTTAATACCTACAAGCTACTATCAAACTAAGGAAACAATACTTTCACAAAATCAGTTTTCCTATCTCACAAGGCCCATCATTAATGAGTTAAATAAGCCTGACATGTATTCATTCTATAGGAGTCACATTTTTACATCTAAGTATTCTTAGGTCTTTTTGAAAATTGTACTTTGGCAGCTTTAGCAATTCCACCAAGATGAGGTGGACCTACCTTCTACAGCCAAGTAAACTGCATTGTCCCAGAAGCGCAATTCACGAGTCACAGAAGCCCGGGTACAGCGTTTGTTTTTCTTGGATCCAGAAGTGAATTCCAAGCAGGAATTTTACCTGTGCTACTATTTTACCTACTGTTTTGATTTTCCTGACTCTGACTTTGTTTTTGTTTCTGGTTTGCTCATAACCGATAAGTTTTTCCCCCACTGCTGACAGTAAGGACGGGAAAGCCGGGTTAGCGGTTTGGTCACTGGGTGATCTCTGTGAGATTCATGGGGTACTACTCTTCACTCCTGAGTGAGAGGCTACAAAGAGTATGATTTGTTGGTCCTTTTTCGGTCTGTTTGCCTATTTCTAACAACTTCTAAATCAATAAACATATATTTCATGCCTACTAGATAGAGGAACAGCCCCTTGAGATGTAAATAAGTAAATGTTTATGTTCTATATTAACTTCTGACCTACGATTAAAGCTGTAAAACTGAAACTACAAACCCTTATGTGTCTATAACTGAAACAAAGTCCTCCTCACCTTTCACTGCAGGAGTCCAAAGTAGTTTCCTTTTTCCACAGTGGACTTTTAAAATTACATTAAAATTTCAAAAGGATCTCTTCTCTGACTGGTTTACAGAGACTAAATAAAGGGCCTGCTTGAATCTAACAGTCCCAGAATCACCAGAAAATAAAAAATCTGAACTTCTAATATTTTAAATATGCTAGCCTAAAAAAATCTTTCCCACAGAAACCTCCTTCTCAGAAGCATTTTCACTTAAGAATATAAGTTACTGTGATCAAAGTGAATCCCTGGACAAAAAAGATATGTCTGATAATCTGGGTATTATGAAAAAGTATGCTTTCCTCTGATGTCAGGCTGGGGTATAATACCAGCACACATTTTACTTTTACAAGACTTGGGTTTCTTTTCTCATGAGAAGACTAATTAATGTGAACTTCCTAAATGACACTCTCATTGTTTATCTTTAGTATCCGGGCCATTTTAAAATTTTCTTAACAGTCTTCTGGCTACCCTCTGCTCACCAATACTCAAGAATATAAACAACTCAGGAACAGCCCTTACCCCTGCTGCAGAGTTGCACCAGAAGTCACAGCAAGTTTCTGACAACCTCAATGCCTACCGTACAGATACTACTGCACAGAAGGTTCTCACTCTGCTGCTTACAGATGTATCTACATTTTACCACTGTCCTTCTCAAGCTAGACTTACATGCTCCAATTTAGACCAAGGTTAAGCCACAAATTAAATACTGGAAATCCTTTCGAGAACCTGGTAATTAATTTAGAATATTTTATGTTAAAATGAATATGGGTAAATAAAAGAAAACTGAATGTCAATTTTGCACAAACTGTTAATAAAATGAGACTTAAAAAGCATGCAGCAGATATAACCTAAAGATAAAAGCAACCACTCGTCTCCGTTGATGAGGCAATGAATAAGAAAAGTTTTCACGAGTAAGCCTGGGAATCTCACTAAGAACAAAAAAAATGGAGAAATACGTTGCTTAGTATTTATTTCTAAGATACCCACCTGTAGTCTTGCAATCTCTTCTCCAAATTTCTTTTGCTGTTTTGCCAGGACAGACTGATGGTACTCAGCATAGGCCTGCATGATACAGTGCTTGGCAGCCAAGATTGGGAACACCTCCTGGAAATAAAAATACTGACCAGGGGAGAGTCCAATGACACAAACCACCACAGACAACATGGGATGCAGGAAGGAAAAGGAAAAAAGACAGAAATTAGAATTACCCCATTAATGGTTTAGAGAGAGGTTAGTGATTATGTGTAAACAGAGAAGACCACATGAATTGCATGGATGGAATTCAATAATTTAAATTTTTTTCTTCCAATTAAAGGTTTTTTAAAAAAACTTTTAAGTGAAGTCAATTATAATGTCTACGATTCTCTTTAATTGGGCCATGAAGTCAACATTTTGTTTACAAAGAAGAAAGGAAAGCATGCATTAGAAAGAGAAGTAGAAAGGACAGGAAGGAATACCAAGCACAAGACTTTAGCAGCTTTCTTGTGAGCCCTTATCCAGCCCTTCGAGTTAACTGGAGCCATTACTCACAGACACTAATCAAACTGCTCTAGAGCTGACTGTTTCATCATGTTTAAAAGACAAAAGACAGCAAAGTAAGTCCCACTGACATTCACATCCTGAGACTTTTTAATAAAGATGATGTTTAGCCACATAAAAATTTAGTATCATATAAAAACATTTCATATCATATACTCAAAAACACATAGTAAACAAATGCACCGAACTAATAACTAATATGATTCAGTGTTATTTTGCCCTAATCTGTTTTGATAAAAATCCCAGTCAAAATTAATTTTAAAAGATCCAAAAACATAAACCAGGAAAGCAATTATATGGGTGGAGGCTCTTCCAAAATATCAAATCCTAGCCTGCAACTTCTGTTTTTAGGAAGTACATGTCATATAAAATCCAATAAATACACCATGAAATCACTGTCCAGACAAAAAAAAGAGAGAGAGAATCAAAAACTAAATTACTACCTGTGTGCTTTCATGTCTCCCAGTGAATAATATCCTAGCTTCCTGGATCACTACTTGCAGAAATTTCAGTTTTATAACTAAAATATGAAAATATCTTATGAGCTTATAGCAAAAAGGCAAAAATAAAAGACACCCAAATCTCAAACTGCACTCATGCAAGTTCTCAAGTTAAGGCTGGAGCAACCTGGTGCTTAAACAGGAGATTTTCAAGGAATGCTGCAGAGGTAGTTTCCAAGTCTTTGTAGATGACATCCTTCTCTCCAGGACAAGACTGAACTAATGGCCCAACAGTATGTAACAGCACACTGTGCAGCTGACCGTGAGGTCTTACTGACAAAAGAGCAGAGAAGAAATCCCAAGTCTCTTTTCAAAAAATAACACTATTAATACACCCAAGAGTCCTGGGCAAATTTCATTTAATCTCTGGGTGCATTTTAAATCTCCAGGAATCTTCACATTGTACATTTTTCTGACTAAACTAACATGTTCTGTTGATGCATTATAACATGTTTTTTTACTCCACTACAAAATTATCTGCAATTTCATAATTTAAAAAAAAATCCTGAATGACTTAATCAGTAAATGCTCCTACAAAAGATTGTGTGACAAACACCATATGCTGTCATACAGATGAAACTAATCCCTTGAACGTTTCGAGAAAGAGTAGCTGAACCATACTACATTCCATTCAATCACTAAGTTTCCCTTTCTAACCACTCTAAATGTACTTATTAGTCTAATCATCTGCTTTATCATTTATAAATAATCATCACTGACTAGTCATTTCAAATGCCATTTCAGAAAGTTTACATTAAAATAATTAATACTTCCTGTGATATGTGGGTTAAAGATGGTTGTTTCCTTAGCTGTCCAATAGCAGCCCAATTTTCTATCCCTGTTGACAAAATTTAATTCTAATCAAAGTATTGGATGAATTTGTTAAGTTTCCTTTTCCTTTTCCTTTAAGTCTGTTCTGGCGCTTTAAGACTCATCTTTAAGAAAACAGGACAATAATTAAAAGTGTGAATAATCAACATGCTCAAGTATTCATGCTTGTACCAAATCACCAATGATTCAGAACTATAAAATGCCTTGACTTGATAAAGTCACACTAGAGACAAATACTCAAAATTTTCCAGAAAGAGATTTAGCTTGGAAAACAGGTTTAGTGAAGAGCAGAGGCAAAGGCATCCCCTAAATATAAATTTTCATGCATCTTAAATTAAAAAAAATTCTACAAATATATTCTTCAAATGCCTCTCCTAAAATTTCAAAAATCTTTATAAAACATAATTTTCAACTTGCTTCTTGTGCACAAAAATATCCAAATATTTCCACATGCAGAATAATCAAGTGTATATGAAAATAATAACTGACCTTGGGGAAAATATCTTTATATTGACACTGCTTGAAAGCATCACCAAAATAATCTGCAGCCTGATTAGCCAATTTAGCTATGATGGCATCTTTCATTTTGTCTGAAATAAAATAGTAAATTGACTGTTATAATTTAAATAAATAATCTGATATATCATGATTGTATATCTGTCTTAAGAAAATCCTTATCAATGAAATCAATTCATCTGCATAAAACTTAACTATTCCTCAGGCAAATACAAAGAGTCAGAAAATAGCTTAGTGTTGCCAGGAGCTAGGAAAAAAGGGAGCAGAGAGTAACTGCCAATAGATATGAGGTTTCTTTTTGAAATGATGATAATGTTTTAAAATAAGATAGTAGTAATGGTTAAAAAACTCTGGATATATTAAAATAATGAGGTGTATACAATAAACAGTGAATTTTATTGTATAGGCATTCTATATCTCAATATGTGTTACTTTGAAAGAAAAATATTACTGCAGTTCATACTGCTCCCACATGATGACTGTTCCCTTATTTCCAATTTCTCTGCACTTACATATTCAGCCCATATTCCAATCTGTCATACTAACTTACACGCCTTATAAGAACTGATCTTACTCCTCATTCACAGAGCCAGAGACTCTGCCTAGATGGCTCAATCTTGTCAGTTAGGTCTGGATGACATAAGAGCTCCTCAAAAATACTCATCCTAACTAACGAATCTAAATCGGCATGACTCTCCCTGTATCCTTATCCCACAGCCAGACCAGACCACCAGCCATTATCACATAACCCATTTTATTTTCTTTATAGAAATAATCTCTCTCTAAAACTACCTTAGCTGCTTAATTTTTTGCACCTCTCCCACAATAAAACACAAGCTTCCAGAAATAGGAACACTTGTTTGTCTCCTAAGTCTATCCAGAGCCTAGAGCAGTGACTGCAACACAGAAAGCACCCAATAACTGAATGCATTTTTGACATATTACAAACCTATGTAAATATTCCAGAGTTCAGTGTTTTAAGAAACAGCTAAGTATCCATTACAGCTTACATTCTTAAATGTGCATTTGTACCACCTTAAGTTCAGAAAAGGAAAGCTGAAATTTTTCAATAATGCATGTGTCAGGTTCAAAGAGAAAAGCTCTACACCAGACATGTTATATTCTAATCACCTTCTAATTTTAAAAACCTATTACTTCTTTTCACACACAACAAAGTGGAGGACAAACTGAAATTACCTCTTGTGGCCTTTAAAAAAAATACTTCTTGGGCCTGTGCCAGCATAACAAGGCTGAGGGTCCCAACAGTGTCTGGGGATATGTCCACAGTTGGCTCTCGATTTAAGGCAGATAAAACCGTCTCTTTAATATGTAAAAAGGCACCACTAGCAAACTAGAGGGGAAAAAAGAATTTCTTTAAAATTTATAGGAACTCAGCAAGACTTAATTTTCTACCATTACACAATCACTCCAATTGTTAACTTAGTTGAACAGTTACAATATTTAAATTTTTATACTGTGCAAAAACAGATCTAGAACATCTGACATACAGACAATAAGGGCATTTTTGTAAAACACTATAGAGTAATAGGAAATTTAACCAAGTCAGCTGCAACAAAAAAGTATATTAACGAGACAAACTGGGAAAGCTTATTTTTAGATATACTTCCTCAAAACTAACATGAGAACAGAGGCAGGTATAAAATATTAAATGTTTTTAGTTCTAAAATGATCTTGGTTTGGTTCCAGACAAATTCGTCTCTCAAATAATTAAATACACCATACCAGGGGAAACCTCAAATACCACAGTACAGATACCTAGTTCTCTAAGAACAGCATTACCATCCATCACTAATGATCTCTATTTGACTTTCAGAGCTCCTTGGTGAAACGTTACCCATCAGATTTGTCTTCCCAATTACAGTTTTCTAAGATTAGCGTTAAAATAAGTTGGCTTCTGTGAAACAAACGACGCTGGGAAAAGAAAGCAGCCTGGGGTTAAAAGGTGTTGTGGGGTTGTACAGATAAGCTACACAGAGTTAACACAAAGTTAACTGTTCAAAACGAACATGTGATGCCCTGGCTGGTGTGGCTCAGTTGATTGGAGCGTCATCCCTTAACACAAAAAGTTGACGGTTCACTCCCCTCTCAGGGCACATACCTAAGTGGTTTGTTCAAATCCCCGGCTGGGATGCGTACAGGGGCAACCAATCCACGTTTCTCTCTCCCTCTCTTACTCCCTCCCTCTACCTCTTCCTTACTCTCTCTCTAAAAGCAATGAAAAAATATCCTCAGATGAGGATAAAAATAAAATTATAAAGTGAACAGAACGTTCTCTGCAGTTGTGAAGTATCACAAAACAATGAACAGCAAGGGATCCAGCCTCTCAATCACAGAAGTGAAAGTGGAGGCCTACAGAGGTTCAAGGAACTTACACAGGGGCACGTGGCTTCTCGGTGGCAAACAGCCTAGACAAGCATCTATGTCTTGTAATACCACCAAGTTCTCTTTCTACCACAGTAGACAACCTGCTATGAACCAGAGATGACTCACCAAACAGAATGTGTCCTCAACAATTCAGAATGCCCTCTAAGATCTCACATGCCAATTAACAATTACAGTTAATAGAAAACTAAATACAAGTTTACTTCATCATACTTTAAAATATGTGCTATTTGTGGTCTCAAAAAGAAAAGGCATAAATGCATCATGCTGGTTTTGTCTTCTGATTGTATAGCAAGCAACAACATGCAGTACGTTGTTTGCTTAGCCTCAGAGTATGTTTTCCTCTCACTTTGCTAAAACAGCATTCCTCTCCCCTCCTGTAAACCTCAGCAATGGGAGAAATCAGACTCCACCTCTGAGACAATCAGATTCCAGAGCCATTGGAGACAGTGGAAGGTCCATTTGGAATTCCATTAAATTTGGAATCAGGGCACCTGAAACCCCCAATGGACCACTTTATTAACACTTCTGCCTTTGGTCTCCTTGTCTGTAAATGAGAATGACATTATATAACATGCATCGCAAAGCTTATCTGAGAGTCAAATAATGTATATGAAAGAACTCTTTAAATTATAAGGCAACATAAAATATAAAAACATGACTATAGATATTATCACTGAACTAAAATCTCTTACTGTTCTTTAAACTGAAACAAAAAATTAAAGCTGAGTAAGTAATAAACTGTCACAAAAATCATATGCCATATTAGTAAATGACAGTAAAACATTACATATTTGACCATATTTAAATACGGCCTCTCCACACGTGTCAAGAGTTAAACTTTTGTTGCTAAGAGGTCTTAATTTTTATGACTCTGGTGAAATTTTACATGTATCTCACTGTAAGAAAAGCGTATATGAAAATAATATACAAATTTTTTAAATGAAATCATTCACTTAAAAGGGATTTACCGAAGATTTCATCTCATGTACTTCATAATTTCTCCCAACATTTACTGAGCCTTTACTATGTGCCAGGCACTGTGCTAGGTGCTGGGGACACAGCGGTGAGGAAAAACAGCTGTTTTACAGGTAATTCGTTTATCTAAGGGCCTCAAAAATATAAATCAACTCATTAAAAAGCATATTACTTCTCAAGAAAATATCTGTGCATAGAGAAACATCTGTAAACCTAAATGCAAATTATTTTCAATTTCATCCAACTTAGCGTTGATCATCATGTAGTAGCCACTGTTCTGCATACCTGGTAATGCTTAGCAGCGATTTTCAATCCTTCATCATTATCCAGGTTCTGTTCTGCTGCAATCTGGCTAGCTAAGGCTGCACAATTGAACAACACACAGCTCTTTTCATATCCTAAGCTTGCAAGAGCTGCAAAAAATTGAGAAGAAAAAATTTATCAGATTATTTTTCTAAAAAAAAATTAATGTTTCAAAGAGAAATACTATAACCTCTATTCCATTGCCTCTCACAAAAACAAGTTTCCAGACCCGTTTTCTCACCCACAACATGCTCCCACATTTCTAGCTGCACTAGCAGGCATTTACTGCCACTGCCATAGTCCCATCATCTAAATTCAACAGATTAATATATTATTCTTTCCTTCTCTTTATATCCACACTGTTATTAGGTTCAAAATGAAAAGTCATTCTCACATCATTTCTCACTTAATTTCAAATGAATTATTTCTATTTTTCCATCATTTTTCTCAAAATTATATCCTCCCACCACATTTAAACCAATTCCTCACTACTACAACCCTAAGCCAATGCCAGAACCTCCAAGATGGCCCTCCATGCCTCACTCCCTTATGCTCATACAGCGCCCAGAAGCTAGCGAATTACTTGTTTTATTTGCTTAAAATACAACTTGGGTCAAGACTCTACACACCTCGCATCTACTTAGAGAGCTACTATTTAAAAGAAGAAGAAGAAAATAACAACTGTTGGCAAGCATGTGGAGAAATAGTAATCATACAATGCTGGTGGGTTAGCTGCTGTAGAAAACAGTATGGCAGTTGCTCAAAATATTAGAAATAAAATTACCATGTGATACAATAATTCCACTTCTAGGTATCTACCCAAAAGAACTGAAAGTACGGTCTCAAAGCAGTATTTGTACACCCTTGTTAATTGCAGTATCATTCACAATAGTCAAAAGACAGAACCCAAGTGATACGTACACACAATGGAATATTATTCAGCATTAAAAAGGAAGGAAACCCTGTCACATGCTACCACATGGATGGATGAACCTTGAAAACATTAATGCTAAATGAAATAAAACAAATTCTATATGGTTCCACTTATATGAGGTACTTAAAGTCAAATTCATAAAAAAACAGCAACAGACTGGTGATTATCAGAAACTAGGGGAAAAGGTGAAGAGTTGTTATTAAAAAGTATAGAGGCTTAGTTTTGTCCGATCAATAGTTCTAGAGATCTGTTTCACAACAATGTGAATAAACAACACTACTGAACTCAGAATTGGTTAAGATAGTACATTTCATGTGGTTTTTTTACCATAATAAAAAAAATTCAATCACAGTGCTATTTCAAGGAATGTGCCAGGCACTGAGCACCAAGCAAAATAATGAGAAGTCTCCTTACAAAAAAAAAAAACAAAACAAAAAAAAAACCTGAACCATTGAGAAGAATCAGAACACTACAGCTGTTTGTGCCACAGAGAAGTGCCAATTCCATCTAACCTCCCAGTGCTAGTCCTCACCCTAAAGTGAAGCAGTCTGTACATCAGTTACTCTAACCTACTTTCTCGTACATACGAAAAAACCAAAAAAAAACAGGATGTGAGGAAAGCTTGCAAAAAAATAAAGATCAAGGTAAACTGACAAATTGTGCCCAGTGTAAACAAAGACGATTCCAATAATAAAAAACACTTCAAACATCCTAATTAGCATCCTCCAAGAGAGTCAAAGGTGGTATCTCCATAAAACAAGAACAGGATGTTACTTAAAAAGGAAAATCCGTAAATAAGAAAAAGCTAGTAGAAATTTAAAACCTGACTGCTAAAAGTTTTTCAAAAGAAATGTTGGAAAATAATATCTAGGTAGCCCACAAAGTCAAAGAAATGAAAAATGTAAGAGTTACGAGTAGCTCAGAACAGCCAACAGCCAACTAAGCATTCCAAAGAAAAGAGGAAAGAAGAGGAAATTCTCAAAGAAAAGAAAGGAAATTTTCCAGGGCTAAAGGAAGTTATGAGTCTTCAAACTGAAAGGGGCAACAATAAATGCCATACAGAAGGAACAAAATGAGTTATTAGATCTTTTGAGGTTTCTAAACACAAAGGATAAAGAAAAAATTATAAAACAAAAACAGGTCGTGTACCAAAGAACAAGAATCAGACTTTTCATCTGTAACACTAGATAGTAAAAGGCAAGGAAACAATGACTTCAAGTTCTGAAGAGAGACCTCATTCTAATTCAACAAATACATATTAAGGCCAGTGTGGCTGGAAAAAAAGAGAGCAAGGGACAAAACGGCAGTCACTCATGTCAAGGAGGTAGCAGAGAGACAACTTGTGCTGTCAAGCTTTCAGCTTTTCTTGAGTGAGATGTGAAGTCAACACAGTTCTGAGCGCAGATTCGCTCGGCCCACGTGTGGACAGCAGACCGCCAGGGAAGCAACGCCGGGTGAAAGCAGGGACAAACTGCTGCGGTCAGGTGCGGAGGGGACGGCGGCTCCAACTGGAAAAGCAGGAGTAGATGTGCTGAGAGGGATCTTCTGACCTTTCCTCGGAAAGTCACCTGACAACATATTTTCTTTCCAGCAAAAGGAACGATATGATACCCAGAAAACAACGGCTCTCACTAAGGGAGCAGTAACGATACAGGATGCTAGTTTGGAGCAGATTTAGAGAGCAAAAAGTCCAGACTCAAGTAAGAAAATAAAGGAGGCCATAAGTGAGACTCAGGAAAGGGATGCCAGAAAAATAAATAGTACGACTGAGAGTTTGGAAAAATCTCGAGAATATGATAAAAGCACAGAATGTATATGGTGGTGAAGCAACTTCTACACACACACAGGGCAATGCAAGTTATGGCTAAATATGAAGCAAGTGGTCCCACTGTATTAACAAGGAGTCACTGAACTTCAGGATGAATGAGGTATATTCCAAGCAACAGATAAGGGTAAACCTTGAAGATACAAGATACAGATCTATTATTAAATTTCCATAAACATTGTATTCCCATAAACATTATCAACTCAGGCTGTAGTCTGTGTTTTTACTTAACATTTCTCATTTACAAAAGACTGTGTGGGAACTTTTTTCATACAATTAAATCTTACCTTTATGATCTCTTCTATTAGATCTAAATTTAAATCAGGTTTTTAAAAAAAATAAACATTCACCCTGGCCTGGTAACTCAATTGTTTAGAGCATCATCCTGATACACCAAGGTTGCAGGTTCGATCTCCAGTCAGGGCACATACAAGCAGCAACCAATTAATGCACAAAAAAGTGGAACAGCAAATCAATGTCTCTCTCCCTCTCCCTCCCTCCCCTCCTCCTTTTCTCTCTCTCTCAAATCAAAAGTTTAAAAAAAAAAATAAAACAAATATTCAATTCTCCTTTCAAAGAACTTTTTTCTTAATATTTAACTCCTCCCTATTGTTACCTGAGCTCTTCTTTTTCACAGTAAGCTTTTCAAAATGAAAATAGCTTGATTATATAGTATTTCTAAAATTTAAATAATTGTTTAAAAAAACTACAAAAGAAAATTAAAATCATCCAACAGGCTACACCTCCCAGAGTTGTTCACTTGTAATAATAATGCAGCAGCTCTGGCCTGTAATAGGCCTTTTATTCAATATTCTACGGAGATAGCTTTAAATGTCAAATATATATTTACATTATCACTCTTAGTATTCTAAAATTACACAATATTCTAACGAATGAGTAGCTCATGCCTTATTTAAGTAAGACATTACTAAAGGACATTTAATTCCCAAAATTTGCTACTAGAAATGTGTTGATAAACTACCTCCTGCTTTATTTAAGCTTTTTTTTTTTTTTGCCACCCACCTCTTTCAGGACCTTCTTCATTTAACCCATCTCACGTAAGTGTATTTAGTTCTCCTGCCACCTGCTCCTTATTCCAGCCTACAAATCTGCTTGTCACAACAGCACTAAAAATCCTTTTCTTGACTTTGCCTTTCTCTCATCATAATGTGCTCCTTACCCCCAAATCTTTACTTCAAGTTTTCCAAAATAACCCACATTTGCTGTTTCCATTTCATTACTTCTGGTCCACTCCTTAAACTGATGCAATCTGGCTTCTTCAGCATGCCCCTAGTGAAACTTCTTTCATTGCCAAATCCAGTGACTTTAGCTACCTTACATAACTTGTCCTCTGCCCTAATGACTCTGTCAATAATGTTCCAATCTGGATCAACATCAGAGTCGCCCAGAGATATTTTCAAAGATACTAATACCAGTGCATCATCCTGAAATTTCTTCCTATTACATCTGGCATTCTGTAAATTTACCTTCAAGATACATCTGTATCTTTAACATTTCCCCAGGTAATTCTAATGTGCAGCCAGGGTCAGGAACCGCTGGACTACATGGTCTTTGAAACACTTCTGGCATTCAATTTCATGTCTCTATTTTCCCCTGGTTCCTCAGAGATCTGAAAGCTTTTTCTCAAGCTCATTCCCAGGACTCTCTTCCGCTGCTTCCCCTAAATGTTGTATTCTTTAGTTCTGGCTTTCACACTTTCCCAAACTATACTCTACCAGAAGACACAAATTTATTATCATTTAATGACGACTGTTCCCAAATCTATGTCTCCACCTCTTTTGAGCTTTAAATCCATTATTTCCAAACGCCAAAGAAAAACGTCTTCCCAGTTGTAACACAGAAAACTCAAACTCAACCTGTCTACTGAAAGGAATAAATATCCAATCAGTCCAACCAAGTCATAAATCTTGAAGTCCACCCTCAACTCTCCTCTTCCCTCTGACTGACAGCAGACCTGACCAGTTTCACCTCTGAAATGTCTCAATCCCACCCCTTCTCCTCTGACCCACATATGCTCCTTGTCTAATTTCATCCATAACTCTGGCAAATCTCCTAACTGGTCTACTTCTCCCTAGTCTCTGGAGTTAGGCTCTCTGGATTCATATCTGGTTTCATTATATCCCTTCCATAGGACCTTAACGAGTCATTTAATCTTTCTAAATCAGTTTGCTCAGCTGTTAAAAACAGTGCCTTTCTTTATCAGGCTACTGGGGAATTCAATAAGACAGTATGGGTAAAGCCCCTTCCACAGTACCTGGATGGAATATGTACTCAATAAATGTTAGCTATTAACATATATGAGGGAAAAGGACAAAACTCATGAATATACTATTTATAACTCTTCACAATCTACTTTCCACTGTCTTCACCCTCCATAATCACTAATTCAACCTATGGTTTCAAGCCTTAACAATAATAATACTATATGAACATGTACCATATATAATTGATACTAAGTATTGTTATGTAACAGTATATAATATATTCTATAATACATAGGGAGCACATATAACAAATATGGTTATTTATAATATTACTACTATTATTCATTGCAGCTAATATTTACCAAGCACTGTCCTAAGGACTGTACATGTATTCACTCACTCAATACACACAAGAACCCAAAAAGATAAACAGTACCTCACAGTACTATTCCCCACTTCACACAGCTGAGAAAATAAGGCACAGAGACGTCATGTGCCCAGCTAGTAGCTAAAAAAAGCCTCACTCTTCTGACCTTTGGTCATAACGTTCTTCTACCTGTAATGCTATTTTCTACCAGGAAAAACAAAAGTCTTCCTTCCAGGGCTAACTCAAACACTGCTTACTTTCCATCACCCAGGCTCCCCGCAGTCTGTGCACCCACTTCCTTCCCAAACAGCCTCAATAAAACTGTCTTACTCTCTTTCACAACTAGGACAGTGCCTGGCAAGGCAGAGGCTCTCTACAAATATCTAGAAATGGCATTCAAGTTGACGGCAAAAAGAAAACAAAATGTAAAAAACTTTATTATTTAAAAAGAGTCATTAGGAGAGCAATTTTAAAAACCCTAACTAAAATACAGTGCTTAGACCAAGTTTCCTATCATTTTTATTAAAAAGTTACATACCCAACTTTACAGATCCTCCAAATAGGGAGCCTTTATCAAAAGCATCCTTCCAAGTAAATGTCAAGCAGATCTTGATAGAGAAAAAACAACAAATTATGTTACCTTCTTGGATCTCATTAAATATTAAGTCTCTTTCAAAGAAAAATTCACAATTTTGAAAAAGACAAAAGCTTCAACCCATTTAAAACATTCTCTTCTCCAACCAACCAATCCAATTCCTTTTCCTTTTCCTGGCCATACATTTTCTTTCTTTCCCTTTTTTTTTTAAGTAAAATACTGGCACTAAGTTATTTCAAATGGTCACAATGCTTCAGTAATTGTGCATATTTTGTCTTCTTCAGAAAACATGATCTTATTCATCTTTATAAACATACAATGAATTGAACAGAATAGGAACTTAATTGTCAAATAAGCCAAGAGAAGCACACACAACAAAGTACGTACTACATGTTTCCCCAGAAGATAAAATAAAAACTATTCCGTGAAGACAAAAGTAAAAGAATGCTTATCTTGGTGGATAGGATAAGATCGTTTGTTTCTTGATTTGGGTAGTGGTTATACACATATATTCACTTTATGAAGATTCAAGCTATACATATATGTTCCGTTTTCTGCATGCTATACATGAATAAAAGTTTTAATTTAAAAAAACTGAATCTTGCACTTTCAAAATATTCCACACATGAAGACTTAAAAGAACCTAGCCTCTTTTAAAGTACGTGTTGCAATCAAATTTTCTAACTCTAGAGAAATTTTCAATAGGCACAAAACTAGAAAGAATATCATAAGGAACCCACATACACTATCACCAGTTTTTAGCCTTTTGCCCACCACCCACCCTAAACACTCACATACTTTTTTTCCTGGAGTATTTTAAAGTAAATCTCAACATACTATTTCACCCATAAAAGCTTTAGTACAAGAATGTTTGAAGTATTTTTCATTAACTATTTTAAAATCTAGAAATGTCACAGAAATTTAAAACTTTCAAAAAGTCCACTAAATAAAACTGTTAAGAAATCATCAGCCTTTTAGAAAAAGTAAAGTTGACATTTAAAAGTAAAGTATAACATCCAATCATAACAGCATTTGCAATACATGCAATATAACTTGTGAAAATAATTTTTAAAGTACATAAACTGCAACATACTTCCTGAATTATATAGTTTCCTTCTTAATTCTATAAAAGCCAAATGCTAGAACAGTATACATCAGGCAATAGACCCTATCAATACATAAAATGCTGTTTAAAAAAACGTGTGTTTGTATGTATGGACGCAGTCCAATGCTCTACATGAGCCCAGAAGTTACTGAGAAATGACATGAACAGAATTCCAGGAGACATTCTTCAAAAAGACATAGATTTATATCAGATGGGCCTAAAAGCTTCTAATTTGTATTAAAAAGTCTCACAAAAACCTGAAGACAGGAAGAGGCACCATTTATTTTAATAAAATGATACCACAGGCAGGAGGAAATGGATGACTTGCCATTGTCATGTAACTTCACAAATTAAATAAATGACTTACTTGATTTTCAGAAAATGGGAACTTGGGTTCAATGGAGCAGACCTGATCATAGTATCTAAAAAACAGAGCAAAAGTAAAAATTAATAGAGCTAAACACTGTACATTTATGTAAATACAAGTGGTTAAAGAGAACACACTAAAATTATGCGTGCTTTCTTTGAGTGACCCACAAATCAGCCATTTTGAAGTTAATGAACATCTATCTGTTAAATGTGTGCACCAGAAACAAAATGCATGCAATAAACTGTTAAACAGAAACTCATCTTCTCACTGAAGAAAAATATTTATCAACTATTACTACCTAAAAGCAAGTATCTACCCAAGAAAACCAAAATATTTCTTAAAATACTACTTCTTATTAGGATAACTGTTGATCCATTGAGTAAATTAATATTTCTGGTAAACTGCTCATTAAAAACAGGTATGCCAACTTTCAAATATGTTTTGGGTGTGCCCACTTCTGTCAATCACCACTGCCACACAGTTCATCAAAGCTACTACCCTCCCTTTCAAGTAGACTAATCCAAAAGTCTCCTGGTCAGCCAGTCCCACTTTCTCCTTTCTCATTCTTTCCATCTGTTTTTCACAGAGCAGCCAGAATGACCTTCAAACATGAAGCAGACTTCCCCTTCACCAGGATGACCTCTGAGCTAGCAAGGGGATGAAGGGGATTCCAAGGCCAAGCTTTCCAACTGGCCTCTAGTATTTCCTCCTTCCCTTATCACCTCCCAGCGCCCCAAGCGCCCCACTCCCTCATCAGGGCTATCTTCCCAATGGTTGTGTCTGAGGCCAAGGTCTTGGGGGAAGGCACAACATGTCTGAGATCCAGTGTCTGGCTGGCATGGCCATGAGTTTGGTTACAAACAGAAAGAACTGAGCAGTTAAGTAAATACACGGAAGACGATGGGAGCCAGGTTTCTAACTACCAGAGAAAGGAATTACTAATTAGGGAAAAATAAATTGGGTGGCTTTGGACCTTTGGAATTAGCGGTATCAATGTGAACTCATGTTAATATAGTAGAAAGTTACAAAAACAGGTACGTGTGTGTGTGTGTGTGTGTGTGTCCGTCCATCCTAAATGTGTCTGTTGAGAGGCTCCAGAAGCAGTAACACCAGGTAAGTGATCCTCTGCATTAAAAGGAGCCAGTGCTCCTTAGAGATATGAGTGACCTCACAGCTCAGACTGAGAAAAATGAAGATTCAAGTCTAAAACATCTTGCTACACCAGAAAGTTAAGGAAGTATTTGAAAATTGATGAGAATGTGTCAAAAGGACACACAAACTAGCTTTAAGGAGCTCCCACTAACCAAGTCTAGAAAAATTTAAAATAAGATAAATCATAACCCATTTGGGAAAATAAGAACATCATCCTGAAGTAAATAAAATAAACAAACAGGTAAATAAGGAAGCTCCACCCTACTGTACAATGTCAACTAATAAATCCAGAAGGAATAATGGAATTCGAAAAATCAGCATTTGGCACCTTTTAGAGTATAATCCCTGATTCAGGTAAGATTCATTAATGAACGCCAAAACATAAAAGTCTGATGGAAATGGGATTACACATAATCTCAAAGTATCTTCCCACAAAATAACTGCTAATTAGTACAACATATTAATTAACTGTAAAATTAAGAAACCTGAGAGACGCCACCTTAATCAAGTGATAAAAGTTAACATTACTAGCAACAGGGCAAATCAAATAATGTTCCTGATATGCACTAAAAAGAACACAGCACCACTTTAGAGCACAGGTGGCAAACACAAGGCCCGAGGGCCGAATCCAGCCCTCCACCTTGTTTTATCCGCCCGGCACCTTGTTTCTACCCAGCAGCAGCACCAAGCTTCTTGCCCCTACTTGAGGAATACTTACATTTATACAGTCCCACAATTACACTCGGCCCTCTGAAGGCAACCACGAGGCTGATGTGGTCCCCGGTGAAAATGAGTTTGACAGCCCTGCTTTAGTGGTACTACCACCCAAAAATGCATAAATCACAAGAAAATATGAAACAAATCCTTACTGAGGAACATTCTACAAAGTAACTACCCTGTACTCTTCAAATATGTCAAGGTCGTGAAAGACGAGGAATAAATGAAAAACTCCTCCAGACTGAAGGAGACTAAAAAGGTAACATTTAAAGGCAACACAGGATCCTGGATTCGATCCCGAGCCTATAAGCCCATTATTGGGAGAATCAACAAAACTTTAATGAACCCTATGGATTAATGGATTCAATCAATGTTAATGTCCTGATTTTCAAAGTTGTACTGTAGCTATGTAGGAGAGTATTCTTGTGCTTAGGAAACAAACACTGAAGTATTAAGTGCTCAAACCCTATAATGGAGTCCCATGATTCTTAAAGCCATATCCAAAAATGCTGACAAGACACGGCATTACCTGGCCATCATTCAACTCTCCAAGCCTCATCTCAGAACATTCTCTACACATTCTAGTCTAAAGTATACTCTCTCCTAGCCCTAGGCCTGCACACATTTTTTTTCTCTGTACCTGGAAATTTTTATCACAATTTCCCACCTTTCTTGTCTAGGCTAACACACCATCAAATAAGCCTTTCTTCATTCATTCATTCATTCATTCAACAAATATATACTAATAGCTTACCATGCAAAAAACACAGTTTTAGGACATAGGAGTTCAGCAGTAGACAAACATTTTAAAATATGTGTACCCTTGTGGCCCTGGCCAGGTAGCTCAATAAGTTAGAGCGTCACCCCGATACACCACCTCCATGCAGCCGAAAGCAGAGTCAGAAAAATATACAGTCTTAAAACCCTAAAATAAAACTATACTTAGTTTCTAAAAAGAAAGAGGTAGCACCCTGACTGATAAGGCTCAGGTGGTTGGGCATCATCCCAGAAAGCAAAAGGACGCCAGTTCAATTCCCAGTCAGGGCACAAGCCTAGGTTGCAGCTGTTCCTCCAGATCAGGGCATGTACAAGAGGAAACCAACCTATCAATGTTTCTCATATTCATGTTTCTTTCCCTCTCTTTCTTCCTCCCTCCCCCTTGCTCTAAAAAATAAATAAATATTTTAAAAAAGAAAAACAGAAAGAGGTGGCTGCAAACCTTTAGCAAATCTGATCAAAGGGAAAAGTCATACATAACACATACAAAATATTAAGAATAAGAAAAAATTGTAAATACAGATTACAAGAATAAAACATTTCGCTAGGACTTCCGTGCAACAAGAGATACCATCATAAACACAACTGAGAGACAAGAAACAGATTTAAGATGATGCTTGCAATATACATAAGAAAAAGGGATAAAATGCCAGGAAAGGTAAATAACTCCTAAAAATTAGTAAGGAAAAAACAAGCAACCTAGAAAATGGGCAAAGAAAAAGAAGAGGCAATTCACAGAAAAAAGAAACTAAGTAACAAGTAAAGGAAGAAATCAAGGCATGCAACCTAAAACAAGGTACCACTTCTCATCCATCAGTTTAACAAAAAGCAGTAATTGGAATTATTAATCAACAGGTATTACGAAAAACATTTTTTTATTTATTGCTTTGAGAGAACTATTGATTTTGTCGTCCACTTATTTACATATGCATTGGCTGTCTCTTCATTTGCCCTGACTGGAGATCCAACCCACAACCTTGCCGTGCAGGGAAGACGCTCTAACCAACTGAGCTGCACGGCTGAGGCGCTAGCTTCTTTTCATTAGGAATTATCTTAACCTCCCCTTTTTGAAATTTTATTTACAAGTTCATTAAGTTAAAATATCTAAATTAGCATTCAGTTTACACAATTATCCAACGTAATTATTAAAGATCTTTTGCTTGCCCTGACCAGTGTGGCTCAGTTGGTTGGGAGTCATCCCACAAGGCAAAGGGTAGCCAGTTTGATTCAGCGTCAGGGCACAGCCTCAGTCGTGAGTTTGTCCCCAGTTAAGGGGCGCATGAGAGGCAACTGATAAATATTTCTCTCCCTCTCTTTCTCCCTCCCTCCCTTCCCCTCTCTAAAAATAAATAAATGGAATCTTTTAAAAAGAGATATTTTGCTTGATTGGAACAAACATCTCACAAATCTTCAATTTTTACAGCATATATACCCATTATAAAATTTAATAGACTGTAGTGTATCTGTTAGCTTACCCTAACCCCACTAGAAGAGTAGGAACTGGGGAGAAAAATGTAGTTGATAATGGTCTAGGAGATGATAATACGGAGGTGACTAAAGAAAGATGTTTAGTTTCACAGAGGCTATCTGTGTAACAGCCCTATTAGGAACAGTTCTCACATTTATGCCTGGGAAAAGATCAAAGGGATGAACAAATGAATGAAATGTTCAAGTCCCCAGCAGAGCCCCGTCAGTACCACCATCTACTATTCTCTCTCGTTTCTTAGCCTTAAACCCATGCACCAAATGTCAATAAAGAGCCCAAGCACCTTGAGGGTTGGGACCAAAACAAACACTCTAGTCAACAAGATTGTTATCATGTATCATAGAGTTCATTATACCCATGCTTTCTTAATACCACCTGCAGGGAAATCCTCACTGAATACTATCCATGTCTACATAAAAACTGCTTTGGAGATTTCTGTAGAGTCTGTTCATTCTCAAGAATGCCTAAGTATTCCTAGATTAACTTTTTAAAAAATGCTCATATAAACGAATTATTTTTACAACCCAACAGTCTTATCTTTAAAACTGATACCAAAGAGATCTTAATCTCTCTAAGCAACCTATTCAATATCCTCCTTTTGGGGAACCAGATACTTCATAAGTCATCCACATTGCCTCAATCCATGGGGGATGGAGAAAAACCAGCTGAGTGACTCAGACAAGGGCAACTACATTAGCACATTTTCCACCATCATAAACGGGCACCAGCCAACCCAATCAGAGGCCTGCCATGAGCTACGTGGAAAAACGCACTCTTAAGTAAGGTCCTGAGGGTTATGACCACTGTAATTACAGAAGACCTGCCGGTGGCCATCTCTCCCAATACAAAACTAAGAGGGAATAACATGGAGGCAAGAGGATATCCAGCGATGCCAAAATCTAAACAAGCAGTATTACTTAAACTTTTCGGTTACCGGTTACCGGAACAAATAAACTAGCTTAACGTGGGTTTCTCCTACTTCCATCCTAATGTAGTTGTTTCTCATGTTAAACAAGGAGAGTATGTAACATGCAAGAAATGAAATCATCAACAAGGTAGGCAAAAGAAATTTTTTACTTTATGAAGTGCTATAAAAATTTGTTGTTATTCTAACCGGGAAGAACCAGCATGAGCTCAATAAGCATTTGCAAAATAACAAATGTACTCCAAAATTATTTTAGGCCATTTATTTTGAACCTTTTATTATGTCCCTCAAATTTAATTTCAGATCATTGAAGCTCCTAACCCTTGGAATTCTCCATCTGTCTTTAAAATTACTATGAACTTGGGAAGATGGCTCATTTCAAGTGGACAATGTAAGTAACAGCGTTTGTTCCAGTGTCCCAATTCTCCCACTTAAGCAACTACTATGTCAAAATCTAAATCTGGCCAAGAAATACAAAACACGGGGGAGGGAAGTCTCCGTTAAAGATTCCTGCGCCCCCCCCCCCCCAAAATGTGGCGAAAACAGATCAGTAACGCGCGGACGGTCCCTCCCTGGTATCCGATCCACGGAGCCGCGCGGACCGTGCGCCCCGGCGGGCCCGGAGGACCGGCGGGCAAAGTCAGCGGCAGCCAGCGAGGCCGCTCCGGCTCACCAGGAAGGAATGCAGACCGCACCTACGCACCCGGCCGGGCCAGGGCGGGGCGGCCGGGACCCGGCCTTGGCTGTGACTGTGGGAAGCAGGAAAGGCGGGGGAAGGAAGGGGTCGGCAGGCTGCACCCTCCGGCCCCGCGCCCAGCCCCGGCCCACCTCAGCAGCGTCTCCAGCGCGCCCTCGTGTTTGTCCAGCGGGCGGCCGAGGGCGGCGCGGCGCAGCTTGCTGAGCTCCTCCGCCGCCCGGCAGTACTGGGCCTGCTCCTCCCCGCCGCTCGGGTAGGTCTGCTGGATGAACTTCACCAGCGGCTTGGCCAGGTCCACCTCCGAGGTCTTTTTCAGCTGCACCGAGATGAACGAAGACATGGCGAGCACCTCGGTCGCCGCTCCGGCCCAATAAACTGCGGGGCAGCGACGAGGCCGGGGACCGCGGGGTACCGGGCTGGCTCACTGGCGGACCCACCAGCTGACGGACGAGCGGTCGGCCTGAGCTTTGGTCCGGCCACTTCCGGGAGCTCCCGCGCAGGCGCCCTCGGCGCGCCGGCGGCGGTCACGTGACGGAGTCTGGGCGGTGGCTCAGCTCACCTGGGCCCAAGTGGGCCTGGGCTACGCGAGGAAATTCGTGCTTTACCCTCAGGTGGAATTCTTCGTTTCCTTACCGCCGCGGCGGTTGGACAGACGCTTTCACGTAAAGGTAGCCATTCCTCCCGTCGCAGACCTCGGTGAGGTCCTATTACTGACACCCTCCAGGGTTTGTGGCGGCCACCTGTGCAAGACCTTACAGTCGCAGTGTTATTGTGACCTATGGTAGTTTTCGTTTCACGCGCTGCTGTGCACAAGCGCTGAATGCACAGTAACCCTAGAAAGCAAAACCCCTACCATTTATAGTGCAGGTAAGCACACAGATACTAAAGTGGACAGAAAAAGTTTCATGGTACAAAAAACGGGGTTCTTGGGATGTGGGATAGTAGGGTCCCTTTGAAGAACCTAATTTAAGCAAGATAATCAGAGAAGGCTTTTCTGAGAAGGGAGACTTAGAATGACCGATTTGAGAAGATGGGTGACATTAGAAGAAGGGGAAAATGGCAAGGAGAGTAAGGGGCAAGGGAGAGCCTCCCAGAGCCAGGGACAGCAAGTGCAGAGGCCCAGGAGGCAGCGCTTCCCGTGTTCAAGGAGTTTAAGCCAACACTGTGGCAAAAATTTTAAAAAGCAAGTAAAGAATGGAATGAAATAAAGTTGGAAGAGTAAGGAAGCATCAACTCATTGACAGCCTTGTATGCCAAGTTAAAGAATTTGTATTGTGGAATAAAGCGAAGGAAGCTCTCAAATGGCATTTAAGCAATAGTGACATTATACAATTTACAATTTAAAAAGGCCAACTCGTGCCCTGACTGGTGTAGCTCAGTGGATAGAGCATGAGCTGCGAACCAAAGGGTCACCGGTTCTATTCCCAATCAGGGCACATGCCTGGGCTGCTAGCCAGGTCCCCAGTAGGGGGTGCTCAAGAGTCAGCCACACATTGATGTTTCTCTCTCTTTGTCCTTCTCTTCCCCTCTGTCTAAAATTGAATAAATAAAATCTTTAAAAATAAAAAGGCCACCTTATCCTTCGATCTGATATTGAATCTCTTGATGAGATGTAGTATGAAGTATACAATATCATCTGTGATATATTCCAGGCAAAAAAGTATTTACCTTGAATCTATCAAACCTTCGCATCTAACACAACTTATAAGAAGAAAGGGGACAGAAGAGCAAATTAAGTGATACCATAGGAAGTAAACAAATAAAAACAAAAGGTGAAAAATTCTGGAAGATAACTGGCTCCATCTTTTCAACAATTTGTTGTTATGAAAAAACCCACTACTCTGTGAAAAGAATTGTAAGGGACATAAGAGTCTGGATTGAATTCTGGTTTGAACAGACCATCAATTAAATGCATTTTCAGGACAGTTGAGGAACCTTAAATATAAATGGACTGAGTAGAAGATGGAAATGTATTGCCAGGGAAGATGGAGATCATTAACTAAAAAGAGGAAGCCACAGAATGGGATACAGGGATGGACAAAAGTAGGTTTACAGTGGTAATACAAACAAATAGTATAATAGTTCATAAACAATGAAAGAATAAGCTCTGTTTCCTGTACTTAAACTATAAACCTACTTTTGCCCACCCCTGTGTGTGTTACAATATCTCATTTTGGTTACAAAATGCACATGTGTGCTGTAGGTACAATGTAAAAAGCAGTAGCCTTGTAGTGGAGTGTAGAGCGGGGGGTCCCCGAAAATAGCAGAGCACATTCCCCACAAACCTTAATTGGTTGGGAGAATGGAAAAGTGGATAATAAAGCATTTAAGATATTTTGCATAACAATGGCAAGGTAATAGCTTTGGTGCCACCTGGGCAAAGGTGATTTTAAGAGCCTCTAGCGACTCATGACACAGCCAGGGGAGGCAGATGCCCTGTGTCACAGGGAGCTCTTGCCCTGACTAAAGATGGCAGCCAAAAAAAAGTAAAAGATACAGGGAACTAGCAAATGTAGCACATCATAGGAGGGGCCACATAAGAGGTCACATAGGAAGTTCTGTTTTTAAAATAAGGGTGGGCTGAAAGAGAAGGGGATTCCGCCATGCAGCCTGGGGTAGTAGGGAGGAAGATACCATGTGGTCTGTAGTAAGGTAGCAGCCATGCATGCGGAAAGAAAGGGTGTAGGGAGAGAGCTGATGGAGATGTGTGAGGACCTGCCTAGCCAAGCACGGATTCATGGGAGATGCTTAGAGCTGAACCAAACTGTGACTGGGAATGCTGAATCCAGGCTTCGGCTTCTCTGAAGGATGTACAGAGAAGCCGCTCTCTTGGGACATGTGCCTCCCTGGACTCCACCATGACCCAGTGTAACACGGCACCTGTTTCCCTGAACCTTACATGGAGGCTCAGAACAATGTACCCCAGATCCTGAAGGAGAGAGCTGCCGTGAGAGGATGGCAACTCTGAAACCCATGCAAGCACTTTCCAGAGGGGATGGAGACCTGTTTGCACAGCTGGCTTAAGCGCAGAAAAGGATACGGGGAATTTTTGGGCATGGTTTTGGCTTACAGCCTGGTGGGGAGCAGGGGAAGTGCTATGTCTCGTGGGAGAGCAGGGCTCTGAGCAGCAGTGCTCTCAGCACCCCCGCCCTGAGGTCGGAACCCTGTAAATAAAAACCTGTTTCCTCCAACTCTGATTATTGGGTCCTGCATCAGAGTGCCATGTGGATGAGCCCCGGTCTGATTCGTTACAGATTGTACCCTAAGCTGTTAGCAGTTGTAATCTTTGGAAGTGGAAATGTATACTTCTATTTTCTTTATTTTTGCCTATCGTTTCATGTAATTTTTACTACTTTTGTTATAAAAGTTTATAACAATCTTTATAAATTTATTTTAGTTAAAATTTTGTAAGTTAAAATAGATAAAATAGCTACTGTGCAGTGAATACGTTAAGAGGAAGGCACGATGGAAACTGGGAGACAAATCATGAGACCATTTTTCAGAAATCCAGGCAGGAGATCATGAAATCTAACATTAGCAAGATCAAGCCAGGTTGATATATTTTAGAGTTAAACATTGAAGAACTTAACTGATAATCAGGATAGGAAGGTGAAGAAAAGGGTGCAATTAAAGTAGTATTCGGGCCTGAACATCTGAGTGGTGGGAATCATTTACTGATACTGTAAGGAAAGCTGAGGAATAATCCACTGATGGGGTCGGGGGTGGGGTGTGTTTAAACGCAAGCACTCAGGTGGAGCCATTAAACTGACTATTGGGTATATGAGATCACAGCTCCAAGAAAACGTCTTGTTTGGGAATCAACAGTCAGCATACAAATAATTTTCAAGTCCTGGAACTACAAAAGAACACAGGCTATCAGGAAATACAATATCAGATTAGGTGTTTTTTTAAGGCAGAAGGTAATAGAGTATCTTGTGGGTTGCTCGGCCAGACTGATCCACTGGAGAGAGAGTAAGGATTCAGAAGAGCTAAGGATAACCAATGCAGCAGAATACACGGTGAAAGGAGAGGAAAGTGTAACCGGAGAAGGGAGGGTGTACTTGGAGGGATTCGCTGTCAGAAAGACGAGAAATGTGTCATTTGCTGAGGCGGGAGAAGGAAAAAAGGAAAACCACACAGACGTGGTTAATTTGGGGGCACTGATCAAGGGAAAACTAAGGCACTCCTATCTGATGGAACTTAGAAAAAAATCCGAGCTCCTTCACAGAGCATGCTCTGTCTCTGCGTAGCCCTGCGGTTTCATATTTTGCCACTTGTTTCTCGTTTTTCACTGCCCAGTCACATCAGTCTTACTTCAATTTTTCCAGCTCACGACAATTTTTCTTCCCTCAAATGACCCAGAATACGTTCCCCTTCATATCTCGGTTGATATGTCTGCTCCCTATGATACATTTGCACTACATTCTTCATTTGTTAACATCTAGCTCAGCCATTGTTTATTTCCTCCCAAACACCCCAACTCACCAGTGTTTTGTCTGTTAATTTACTTTTTCCTGTGCATTCCCACTAGCATGTGAGCTCCAGGAGGGAAAAATTGTGTTTGTTTTGTATACCTCTCTGTCTCCATTACTTGGCCCCTCCTATGCACTCAGCAAGTATGTTTGAATAAGTAATTGAGTTCCACTACTTGTAAAAAAAAAAAATTAGATTTCTGCTATCAAAATAACATGCCCTCCCCAATAACAGGTCCCTTTATTAATTAAGCAACAGGCCAGTGGCCAAAAAAAGATGGTATATTAGAATAGGCTAGCTCATGCTCCGGTAATAAACAATTTCAAAATTTCAGTGTCTCAACAGAATAAACATGTGTTTCTTGCTCACACAAAGTCTAACGGGAGAGGCAGGCGTCCAGGGTAGCTGTCCTGCAAGCGGGGTCTCAGTAAACCAGACCAGTCTGATCTTTTAGCTCAGCTAGCTCAACCTGAGATTCCACCCAGCAGCTTTCTGCTGTTTCAGCCCTCCCACATCCACTCACACTTTACTGGCCAGACCTCTCACCGTGTCCCATCAAACTGCTGGGGGCCTGGGAAGGGTTGTATTTTGTACGCCCAGGAAGGAAGGGGGAACTGGAATTGGGGAGCTCCAGTGATAAATTCTCAGGATATGTTTCATTGCTCCCCAAATTGCTTATGGTCACATTGGTTTTCCATCTCTGTGTTGAAACTTCATAAATTTGTGTTCTTAGAATGTATTCTTAGTGCAATATTTTGGAGGATATTAAATCCATAGATTTTCCTCCCTGATAATTCGTAGTTCCAGTGGGCCCATCCTTACCCCCACTGATTGAACCAAGGGAAATAATTGCCTCTTTGGAAAAACAACCCTGATGAAAACAACTTTGAGTTTCAAAACAGAGTTTTCCAAGTCTCTTGAGACAACAGCCTGAAAGTAGGCACTTGAGGTTTTTGGAGGAGCCGATCTTTACTGAGGAGAAAAGCAACTTATAAAAGCCAAGTCCAGAACACTC